CACAACAGGGCTCAAAGCACATGCGCACTCCTGCACCTGGCATGGTGGCCTTGACCAAAGCACCCTGCTCAGCTGCTCGCGTTTTGCAAAGGGCCGAGCCATCCGATCCCTTTGAAACAGCATCCTGATGGGAACTCAAATCTTCACCTTCACGCACGTTGAGCTTATCTAATCCTGGCACTTACCCAGCATGTCACAATTATAATTCCAGTTGCCCCTCTTTTCACCAGAAGTGTACATATGAATATATATATATATATATGTGGAAGGTGTCCACAAAATGAGACTACTCTTGATATGGTGATCAATTGGAAACGACACGAAACCACACATTTGGGGAGGGGTGGCACCACATGTTTGGAAGCAAGACACATCAGGATTCCAGGGGAGTGGCAACCGCCACTAAGGCCCTGGCCAAAGTCTCGAAGAGATGCGAGAAGCGCGTGTCGGCCTGGAAGCGCTTGGCGCGAAAAGCTTCGACCATCAGCCAACAAAGACATACCTGAAGTCTAGACCCTTCCAAAATGGGGCATCGCCCCTTTCGTTTGGGGAATGAGACATTTGTTGGGTGGAGTCATGGAGATGCCAGGTACATAGCCAAAAGATGGCATTTGCAATGACCAAATCACAACAAGCTCCACCCAAAACCAACCTGTCTCCAGCACGCTGGCTAGGTGAATTCCTTCTTATTTCACCAGCCTGAAAAAATGGCACTCCCCAAGACGAAACACTGCTTCATGACAGAGGAGTGTGGTGTACGCTATGATTCACAAAAACATTCATGTGAAAGCAAACCAAAGGCTTGTCAACAGACAGCACTGCTCTCCTCTTGGCTGTTTCTCAAGTTCAGAACAAGCAAAGCCCGTTGGAGTGTAGTTGCTTGGTGTACATGGGATGGCAATCCAGCGTGGGACACTTGAAATCTCAGTCCCAGATTCAATATGATTCAACCAAGCTCTTCTTTTGCTTCCTGTGTCTGCAAGTGCACACAAGGCATTTCCGACCACGTGCCGCAAGGAGGTACTACCCAACAAAGCTTCATGATGGGTGAGGTCTCTTTGACGCAAGGCGAGCCATGCGTATCCACTCCCCCTGACTGATTGGCTTAAAAACAGAGGCGGAACATGGCAGTTCGAAGCAACTTCTCTCTTGTATGTGTGCTAGTATCGAATATCCCGCCCACTTCATGAGCACGCAAGATAGGAGACCACACAGGATTGTATGATTATCTCTACTTCAAAAGGCACACCAGCACATCACCAGCACAATCCTTCGAATCGAACAGGCCGGAGAATCGGAGCAGCTCATATCGACCTGGCCTCAGATGCGACGAAGGGCAGAATCAAGAGCTTCTCCTTTGGTCCCTTCTTCTGCCGCCTCCTGAAACGATGTCTGAACAGGTCCCCCAAAAGCAGACTCCGCTCGAAACTGACGTCATGATGGTTGCACCGTTCGGACGGTCCACTTCAGTCTGCCTTTTTTCAATACACCGAGGTAGATAGTCCAATGACACAGATCCGTGGCAACCCTGATGCTTAAGACTGTCGCGACGCCCTGAGAGTGCACTGCTAGGGTTGTACCCAGTATTATGACCGATCCCTTGGTACTTGTTGAACAGATTCTAAAGCAAACAAGGAGTAACAAGTCTTGATTTTTGTTTCCATAGTCGATCGGATGTAGCTCAAACCCTTCCCACAAACAAGCATGCAGGTGCACAGGTAAAATATGGCAGAAGGAGTTTGTTTGGTGGGCACATGTGAATCGTGCTCACTTTCCCAGCTCGTCGCGAACTGCCCAACTCGCACTCCTCTTGATGACGCATGTGACAGGGATGTGGTCTGGGCCCTGCACCACAACAGGATGGGGCAGGGGCACAATGCTTCGTTTGGAGAAACAATGCCCTGAACACGCATGTAGTGTGAATTTCGGATTAATCCCGAGGACCGCCCTAGTCAAGGGCGGTTTCCCTTTTAGAAAGGAACTTATTTATTTCTGGGGGGCTCTGCCACTAATTAATAGGGTTCGCGGGATTGATCGAAGCTGACATCAAGAAGCGCTCAGAAACAAGACAAGCTGTTTGGGTTGTCACGCACAATGCCACCAGGACTGGTCTTTAAAAAGTCGAAATGCTGGCTCAACAGATAGGCGAGCTTGTTTATATTCCTTACGCCACTCCCGGAATCCAACATCAAGTAGCTGCATGCATCAACCTCAGGATGAGGGATGAGCTGCAACATTCGCGGGAACGCCTAAAAGATGAGGGACCCCCTCTTATGGGCAGTTTCTGAAACAAACACGATATCGCTGGGCACAAGATAAGCGCAGTGGCAAACGCTCACTTCGTGACTGACATGTTGGCAGTCGCGCAAACTAAGGCACCCTCACTTGCCTCGATTCATGAAAAGTATATGGTCCTACAACCGTGCCACCAATGTCTCGAAATGCAAGTTTTTGTGTCGTCACAACCCGTGAACCCTCCAAAGACTTGCCGGCCTCTTGTGAGCCTGCTGGGAGCAAACACATAGCCGACTAAAGGGCTCAACCCATGTTAATTCACATATAATTCACATTGCGCGTGCCCATGCCATAATTGGAAAACAGCCATAGTCCCCTGAGTGCATGGCTGCTTGCTTGACCTACCCGACTCCCAACTCCCGACTCCCGAGCTGACCCTCCATGACGCGGTTGCGTGTTCCCGGGCCGGAGGGCTTAAGGATCGACCTCTTCCTGGCGAAAGTTGCGCGCCAAACAAGTATCTCACTTCGTGAGTGGATTGGCCAAAAAGTCCAATTGTTTAACCAACATGGTTTCCCCAAATGTATCAAGTTCAGAACCCTGGAAGTGAAGTATTACAGCAACAAAGAATATGTAGGTTTCCACCAGAAGCGCATCCAAACTTTTTGCAGTGGAATTCACAACCAGCATATCCAAAACATCTTTAGGAGTGGAATCCACAGCCAGCGCATCCAAGCCATGTTTTGAGCATCGAGTTCCAGCCAAGTTCCAGCGATAACGTGGATGCGCAGAAGGCTCGACTGGTTCGAAGCGCTGAACTGTTTCTAATCTGTGCAAGCCATGACTAAGGCATAAGGCACATCACTACACGATGCCATACACACACATGAAGTTGTGCTTCTTCACAAGCTTTGTTGCAATAGCCAATGCCAAGCCTCGCTTTGCTTTGCTGACAAGAATCCGACATCCAATAATGGAAACCCAGGCTGAATCAATCCGGCCAAATAAATGACAACACATCCGTACTCGAAAGAAACACCTCAAACAAGGATTCATTTGGCTGCACGTACTATCTAGGAACTCTCTTTGGGACAAACACCATGTGATCCTCTCCTTGCAAGGCAATGGTAACCTGGAAGGGCCACTTACGCAAATCGCCATCCAAGCATTCTCGGACATCTTCCATCTTGGCCTTAGTAAGGGCACTGCACTTTTTTTACTTCAACACGTAGCTTCAGAATCGTTTGCAGTTCATGTCAATCCCCTCAAGTTGGCCCGACCTCTTCTCGTCCGACAAATCACGGCAGCGGGACTCTTCACGTTTGTGAAGCGGGCCTGGAACAGCTGACCTGGCAATCCATAGATAGATCTTACTGTCTTGGAGTCTCCATGATTACATGACCCTTTTTTAGTGGGGTATACCTACCTAACCCAAACTGTCTCAGGGTTATGGAGATTCCAGGCGGATGTTCATCCAGCTAACCCCCCCCACTTAAGCATGATCCATGGAAGACATAGACATGCAAAAGGGAGAACTACAAAGTGACATCCAACGAAATCACAAGCCTAAGGCTGATACAAAGGTTCCAAGGAATCCATATCCCACGGCTGTCCAGGGAGGAGTAAGCTTCATCAGGCGCAAACACTTTTTTGCATGCGGACAGACACGTGGCGTATTCGCAATGAACGAGCTCGTGCCATGACCTTTGCCCGCGAGCTGGGCCTCGCTCAAGCAAACAAACATATTATTCGTCGTCACCTCAATATCATCAAGTCCAATGTTCCCCATAACCAAGGACTAGCATGCAGCTTGAGACATGTGACTATGAATATGAATTGCGCAATCACATACTTTCATGCAACAAAGATACCTGAGTGCTGGTTACAATTCAATTGACAATATTCATATTTATGTTGTTGCTTCCGCGGCTTCCGCACTTGCAGTCGCTGGATGTGTTGCATGTTGTTATTTTTACTTTTAACAGATTTGTACCGGTTCCCCATAGTGTACTTCGCTGCTTGGCCGGTCAGTAAGTTGAGAGAAAGGGACAGCATAAATTGCTAGGTCTGCTGTTGACAACAAAAGCAACGCTTCCGCGGCCTTCCACGACACACGTTTTAGCATCCTCCTCGGATGCTTCCGCGGGCTTCCGCGCCTAAACGTTTCCTGGCACCAAATCTTATATTGGCTCGCCCGGTCCTAACATTTGTTTGACCGGCTCTTGCATATGGACAGATTGCTGAATGCTGAGGCAATTGGACAAGCACCGAGAACTCATACACACACATTGAGGGATGGTAGGTACTTGTATCACACAAGTTCCACCATGATGAGTTGATTCACAATGAGGCAGGGAGTTTGCTCCGCAAGACAACACTGGTAAGGGTTGGCAACCGTCGTGAGACTACCATGATATACATCGCCTACACCTGCACGCCGCGAAGCTCAAACCTGAAATTAGACGCAAAGTTTGCTTTGAAGCGCATATCCCCTCATCAAAAAAATGGGCAAAGCCAATGTCATAAACGCGTGTGAACAGAAAGTGAGAGTCACAACATTTTAAGCATCCTTGAGAGTCGGGAGTCGATGGCGCGCCTCTGTGGGTCAGCGATGTCACCTACACAGGCAGCGTCACAAGTGCTCCGTGAAAGCGCCAACACACACCGCGGAAAGACACGTCAAACATGCCGAACAGCCGCCGAACAGCTACTGAGCCAAACCCATTTCGTACCTGATTGGTAGCCTTGCAAACGTAGTTGCTCCTCCCTGATTGTTTGATCGCCATGCCGGCCATGCCTCTGTGAGGGATTTGAAATAAAGCGCTTCCGCAACCCTCGGCCTATTTGGTCTCCAGCTCTTATGGGGCCATTTGTGGTTCGACTAGGCACACCAATCATTGCTCGAAAGACCATTGTGTGGTATCAAACTGCCCGCCAAAGCTGGTCGGGGAAGCAGCCCACGTTCTGGACATGGTGCCAGAATCATCAACGCCTCTCCAAAGCCTGCATGGGGAGAGACCTACCAATCGTCTCAAACTCCACACTGTGGTTCGGCTAGTTTCAAAATCTCTGAAACTGCCAAACACTGACTCATAATCACATCGACCACCTCAAAACATAGAAGTTGAACTGCGAACCTGGGGTGCTACCTTACCGATCGGAGCCAGTTGTTGCGCGTTTCTATCAATGGATCTGCAATTTCTACAATAATTCCAGCGCATCCAAGAAATCCTAAAACACATTCTAACTACAAAGAAAGGGTTTGTGACATGTGTCAAAGTAGGAGACCCCAACAGTGGCGGCGTTACTGTTGGCTTCCCGGTAAACCACATCTGAAAATCGTCAGAGAAGCTGCCGGCGACAGCGAAGGGCCCATGGATCGAGTCGCGCCTCCGGCTCCGGACTGGCAGCTCGCGACATGGAGGCCTGCGGAAGGCAAACACCAGTGTTTCGGAAACATGTCAGTCCCGTGTCTTTCTTCTGAAATGACAATGCGAGAATTTCACAGCCCTCACTTCACATAGCGTTTCATATTGAGCCTCTTGACGTGAAACAATGCTGTCAAACAAGAGCTATACCAAGATACCTGAAATCACACTCCTTTACTAGGTGGTTCCCAAACTATCAGGAATTCTAAAGAGCGCACATCCAAATCATCACGCCGGAACATGGAACTCACTACAGGCGCCGTCCGAGCACCCCCATGCCGCCCTCATGCCAATCACTCATTCTAAGCACATTGGGGAACCCGAATCCAACTGACCAGTTCACCTGTTGCTCCATTCTTTCAGCACGCTTTGGCACTTCAGAATTGGGCAGTTCAGGCTACAGCAGCTCTGGCACTTGGCTGCTGTCTCCGCCACATCCCGGCTCACCCCAGGTCACCACAGCTCCAGATTCAAGAATGGCAGCAAAAGCACCCTCAAGAGTGGCTTGGACGCGCGTGACGTTCCTCAGCTGCTCTTGCACCTGCCCGCTGTCTCCACCAAATTCTGGGTCACCCCAGGTCACAACAGCCCCAGATTCAAGAATGGCAGCAAAAGCACAGTCAGTTGCTTGGATGTCCTGGACGTTCCTCAGCTGCTCTTGCACCTGGCTGCTGTCTCCACCTCCTTCTGAATCACCCCAGGTGACAACAGCCCCAGATTCAAGAATGGCAGCAAAAGCACCGCCAGTTGCTTGGACGTCCTGAACGTTTCTCAGCTGCTCTTGCACCTGCCCGCTGTCTCCACCAAATTCTGGGTCACCCCAGGTCACAACAGCCCCAGATTCAAGAATGGCAGCAAAAGCACAGTCAGTTGCTTGAATGTCCTGCACGTTCCTCAGCTGCTCTTGCACCTCTCTACTGTCTCCACCATGTTGTGCATCACCCCAGGTCACAACAGCTGCAGATTCAAGAATGGCAGCAAAAGCACCCCCAATAGTGGCTTTGATGCGTGTGACGTTCCTCAGCTGCTCTTGCACATGGCTGCTGTCTCCGCCTTGTTCTGAATCTCCCCAGGTGACAACAGCCCCAGATTCAAGAATGGCAGCAAAAGCACCGCCAGTTGCTTGGACGTCCTGGACGTTCCTCAGCTGCTCTTGCACCTGGCTACTGTCTCCACCTCCTTCTGAATGACCCCAGGTCACAACAGCCCCAGATTCAAGAATGGCAGCAAAAGCACAGTCAGTTGCTTGGATGTCCTGGACGTTCCTCAGCTGCTCTTGCACCTGGCTGCTGTCTCCACCTCCTTCTGAATCACCCCAGGTGACAACAGCCCCAGATTCAAGAATGGCAGCAAAAGCACCGCCAGTTGCTTGGACGTCCTGGACGTTTCTCAGCTGCTCTTGCACATGGCTGCTGTCTCCGCCTTGTTCTGAATCTCCCCAGGTGACAACAGCCCCAGATTCAAGAATGGCAGCAAAAGCACTGCCAGTTGCTTGGACGTCCTGGACGTTCCTCAGCTGCTCTTGCACCTGGCTACTGTCTCCACCATGTTGTGGATCACCCCATGTCAGAACCTCGCCCCTGTGGCCATGCAAGGCAAACGCCCCGTCAGTGGCAGCTAGTTTGCCTCTCTGCGCAACCGCAACCACCACGTCCCCATCTTGCAAGCCTGCCTCACTCAGCGTGGCTGTCAAATCAAGTTGCCGGCCTTTTGCAGTGAGCTTCAAGCGGCGCTGGAAATGCTGCTGCGCTGCAGCTTTCAGCTCGCTGATTGGCCTTTTCCCTGAGAGTGAGATGGTGCAACCGTCTCCACTGGGCAAGTGAACATCCAGCTTCATGGCACAAGGCTCTGGGCGTGTTCAGGGCTCAAGTCCCAGGTGGGCTACCGTTGGCGCAAATCGGACCAACCCTTACGGCTCGCTAGCGTTCTAAAGTTGGTTTGCCAACGCATGGCTGGTTGTGCAGTGCGGCTTGTTGTTGCAACCCATGCAAACAAAAGATCCCATGGGTCGTGTGCCATCCAAAACCGTCCGATGTCTAACTGACACATCGTGACTGAAGCTTTTGAGCTGAAACCCCAGATCGGTGTTAGCGATTCGTAACTACAATAGCATCCGTTTGCAACCAGTTGTGTAGAAAGGCGGATCGTAGCGTACGTGGTAGGTAGTTGAAACCCAGCCAAGGAGATTTTGCCGCAACTTGGGAAAACCAAAGCGACAATGATTTAAAGTACCAAACTCTAAAAGGAAAGCCTTGAAAAGGCAAAGAGAATCCAAACCATTAAGCACCCTGGCACTGCAAGGTCAAAAAGTGCACAAAGTGCAGGTTTCTTTGACCGCGCAAAGCATGGCGTCCACATGCATGGGTCTCCGAGCTCTGCGGGACGCATTTGTGCAGAACTTGTGCAGATAAAAAGAAGAAAAAATGCTATGAGAAAGCTGCGCGCCAGGTGCTCTAGGGCTGAGGTTCCTTTCAGGGGCCTAGAGGACTCTTGGTCCTTGAGGATCCCAAAACCTGGATCAAAAAGAAACTATTTGCGGGATCAAACAGAAATTATCGACACCTGGAACAATAAAAAAAGTTTGCGGGATCAAAAACAAATCATCTCGCCCAGGGGTGCCCAAACGCTGTAATTTACATCATCTTCAGGCAACAGCGCGCTCCAGCTCCAAAATAGACACTTTTCAGTACAAGCGCAGTACACGAAGATGACGGGCTTAGGATTGGTTGAGGGTTGGCTTGCGGGTCGGGGCTGACTAGGACTGGCTTTAGTGGGGGTAGGTTTGGTTTAGGGTCTGTTTAGGGTAGTTTTAGGGTGGGCTTAGGCTGGGTTTAGGGCCGGTTTAGTGTTTTGTTTAAGGTTGCTTTAGGGTAGGCTTTGGGCAGGTTTGGGGTGGGCTTAGCGTTTTAAGATTGGTTTAGGGTTGGTTCAGGATTGGTTTAGGGTGGGTGTGGGTGTGGTTTAGGGTCTGTTTAGTTTAAGGGTAGTTTACAATGGGTGGTTTTAGGTTAATTTAGGGTAGGTTTGGGGTGGGTTTAGGGTGGATTTAGATTGGTTTAGGGTAGGTTTAGCGTGGGCTTTGGATGGGTTTAGGGCCGGTTTAGTGTGTTGTTTAAGGTTGGTTTAGGGTAGGCGTTGGGCAGGTTTAAGGTGGGTTTGAGGTTTTAGGATGGTTTAGGGTTGGTTTAGGCTTGGTTTGGGGTGGGTTTAGGGTTGGTTTAGGGTTGGCTTAGGGCTGGCTGAAGGCTGTTTTAGCTTAGGGTTTGGTATTAGGTTTAGGGTGGGTTTAGGATTGGTTTAAGGTTGGCTTGGGGTGGGTTCACGGTTGGTTAAGGACTGGTTTGGGTTCGTTTACGATGGGTTTGGGGTGGATTTAGATTGGTTTAGGGTGGGCTTAGGGTTGGTTTAGGGTTGGCTTCGGGCTGGCTTTGGACTGGCTTAAGGCTGTTTGGAATAGGGTTTGGCTCCAGGTTGGTTTAGGGCGGGTTCGGGTGGGTTTAGGGTGGATTTAGGTTGGTTCAGGGTATGTTTAGGGTGGGTTTAGGATTGGTTTAGGGTTGGCTTGGGGTTGGCTTGGGATGGGTTTAGGACTGGTTTTAGGGTGGGTGTAGGTTTGGTTTAGGTTGGTTTCAGGGTGGGCCTAGGCTGTTTAGGGGAGGTTAAGTGTTTTGCTTCAGGTTGGTTTAGGATAGGTTTGGGGGTTGGGTGGTTTTCGGGTTTGTTCTTAGGGGTGGCTTAGGGCTCTCTTGGGCTTGTTTTGGGCTGGTTTTGGGCTGGTTTAAAAGTTGCGCAAGGTGAGTGCCAAGCTTGGCTTGTATGTTGGTGTTGGGCCGGTCAGGGTGGGTGTGGCTTAGGGTCGGAGAGCCCAAGAGACCAGGAAGGAAGGAGACCAGGGCCAGGAGACCAGCAGACCAACAGACCAGGAGACCAAGAGACCAGGAGACCAGGACACCAGGACACCAGGGATAGGAGACCAGGAGACTCGGGGACTAGGAGACAAGGGACTAGGAGACCAAGAAACCAGAAGACTAGGCCTCAATATTTCTTTTAGAAAGAAGGCGCGCGCTGTTTCAATATATGGATGCATACAAATGTACTACCAATGCATGCATGTGTGTGTGTGTGTGCGCGCGCGCGTGTGTGCGTGCTTGTGTGCGGCGCGCACAGGTGCGTGTGCGTGTGCGTGTGCGTGTGCGTGCATGTGTGTGTGTGTGTGTGCGCGAGCATGCGTCTTGAATAGGGATAGACAAAGAGAGAAAGAGAGGGAGGGAGAGAGAGAGAGAGAGAGAGAGAGAGAGGGAGCGAGTGCGTGCGTGCGTGCGTGCGTGCGTGCGTGCGTGCGCGCGCGCGCGTGGGTGTGTGTGTGTGTGTGTGTGTGTGTGTGTGTGTGTGTGTGTGTGTGTGTGTGTGTGTGTCTGTGTGTGTGTGTCTGTGTGTGTGTGTGTGTGTTTGCGTGGGCGTGGGCGTGGGCGTGGGCGTGCACGCTGTCGCGAGTGTGTGTGTGTGTGTGTGTATGTGTATGTGTGTGTGTGTGTGGGTGCGTGCGTGCGTGCGTGCGTGCGTGCGTGCGTGTGTGCGTGCATGTGTGTGTGTGTGTGTTTGTTTGTGTGTGTGTCTGTGTGTGTGTGTGTCTGTGTGTGTGTGTCTGTGTGTGTGTGTGTGTGTGTTTTTGTGTGGCCTGAGTGCTCGTTTGAGTGTAAGTCGTATGTGTCTGTGTCTCTGCGTGTATGCAGGTATGCAACAATGCACTGCACCCCCGTGTGTGTATCAACATCAGGCATATGTGTATCAACATCTCAATGCGTTGTTGCTCCTGAAAGGAGCGCTGTGAGCTCTAAGTATTTCCACGTCCTTGACATTGTGCTGTTGCATATAGTTCTTTGTTGGGACATGCACATATTCAATCAGTAAACAGAGTAAACATTAGGGACAGTGCCCGTTTGACAAACACCTCGATATTTTTTGGACTGCTCACATATTTTGCAACAAAAACAACTCAGTACTCGATAATTGCCAACATGTTCAAAATCTCAGCAACTATGTTGGGGATTGAAATTCCCAAAACACATCAGTAAATGCAAAAATCCAACCAAACCTGAAGATTCTTGAGAAATACAACAAATCAGAAAAAACAAACAAAAACACTCTGTAAATGCAGCATCCTAAAAACACCTTGGCCCCTCCCAAAATTTCAAAAATATGCAACCATAGCTGGCCATAACATTTGACTTGGACTCTTCGGGAATTTGGGAACTCTCATGTTTCTTTTTTGTGCTGCGGTTGCTGCGGGCTATTGAAGTTTGGAAATTCCAAATCATCACGATATTTTGTTAGATGTTGTATTTACTGAGTGCTGTTTGGCATTTCCATCCTCGACAGAGTTGCTGAGATTTGTTTTGCTTTGCACGTTCTTTTGGGACTCTTGCATTTACTGAATGATTTTTGGAATTCCCATCCAACATAGTGGCTGGGATGTTTGGAAATTTTGCAATTTGAGAATTCTCGAGGTTTTTTGCGAATTGTGCATTTGCTGAGGATATTTTGGAATCTGGGGAAACCTCAAGTTCTGGTAGTGTTTCTGGAATTTGTATTTGCTGAGTTTGTGTTTGTGACATTTGCATTCGCTGTTTTGGAATATTGATTCACGGTTTCTTTTTGATAATTCTACATTTACTAAGAGTTGGTTGGGATTTCCGTCAAAACAAACCCTCTACTAGCCTTGATCTGGGCTGGAGCTTGTGCATGCCTTGCCAAATTCATTCGAGGTCTGGCTTGATCGGTTCGTAGTGTCAAATGCAGATTTATATTTGCTGTATAGCATCCCTGTTGATAACAAGAGGGGCTGCATGGGGACACACAGAGCGGCAGCGGCGTGAATTTTACGTCATGTCCACTGGGTGGACAGAGACTTTGCTCCAGACTAAAAAATGTTATATAGAGAGCAAACGGCTCAGAAGCTATGATTGGCATTCCATTTTGCACAAATTATGCAAATGCCTGGCTGCTAGACGCGTGGCTAATAAAACGATGTCAACACCAGTGTTTTTACGGAAACTTACTCAGCGCTCACAGCGCTGACCTCTCTTTTGCTGACACAGTACTAATACATGGTGAACACAATTGCCCACTCCTGGCTTAGTGCTGCAACAATTCAAACCATCGGTCTTGGCTCGCTGGGTCATCCACTCACCGCCCCATCCCCATTGAGCCTCTCTGGACGTTCCACATGTGCTCCTTGGCAACGAGTGCATCTGGTTTGGCCGTGAGCAGGTAAAACAAAAGTGGAAAGCCGTTGGACCCTGTTTGGCTTATGCTGCTTTTCCATAAGCCAACAAACAAAACACCAACTCGCATTTTGGAGGGTGCAACCGGCTTTCCCATGATTGAATCTTTGCCCTGATCGGCAGGATTCCAATATCTCCCAAGCGATTGTGTGTGCTTTGTTTACTTCTTTCCTTTTTTTACACGACTTATCCAAGGCCGGTAAGATACGACTTCAACAGAATTTCAGGGTACCAACAAATTAGATGGCTTGCAAGCCTGTAGGCTGAGGGCCTTGATTGCCCGGCATGTTACCAAATTTGATTGCTACTCTAGCTGAATACTAAAGAAGTCAATGGACCTGTTGAAACTTTGAAACCATTGAGAGTTCAGAGCTTGCGTCATCTGATGTTCGCAGAACAAACAAAATACCAAATTGTCCAAGCACTTCAGGTTGGCAGCGTTGCACCTACAGGCATCAAACCGCTAAGTTAGACGTGTCCAACATCCGAGCTGGTGAGGAAGACATACGATTGCCCTCCCCAAGCAACCAAAGAGCTGTTCCTTGGGGAACTTTCATGGTGCCCGACTAGTCTGAATAATGTTGTTCCGCATATAATTACATCGGTTCAAGTGGGTTGCCTGATTGATTTGTAAGCCTTCAGGTTCACAACCACTTGGGCTAATCCGGACCAATTGGGAGCAGGTTTTGTTCCAAAGTGGCTTGCTGTTGTTTCGTAGGGCGGTTAAATTCATCAGGCTCTGAGGAGTAAGCTCAGAAAGCTCCTTTTACAGGTCTTCATCATATCTGCTGGGGCAAAATATTACCCTCCCAGCCAACAATTGAGTCCTCCAGTAGAATATGTGTATACATACATATACGTATATATTTGTAGATAGGATCAAGAAGTACTCAGGTTTTGGCCTAGTTTTAGCCCTGCTTCCTCTTATACGTATATGCATATATGTATATTATATTGCATTACCACATATATATATATATATATATATTATGCGTGTTGCCTTATATCTGCAAGCCACATGTATTGCGTGAGAGGCCTGACAAGTCCAGCCCCCACCCGACCAATCACCAGATTTGGGGGTCGCGTTGCCACAAGGCCCTCGCAACCTTCCGCTAGCGTCCAATCTACCTCAGCTCCCCCCCAAAACAAACATGTTTGAGTATTGTCCATCTTTAGCGAGCCCTAGCAAAAGGCTCACAACTGGCACCGGGACCAAAATCATGTTGGCTCTGATTCATATTTTGCCCACCCAATGCACAACCCATATTGGAGCTCCCCAATGCCTTTTTTTTTGCGGCACCTCAGCCGTGGGGACGGGGACAGCCCCGACACCGCCGAGGCTGGCGACGGCGGCGGTGCCTGGGAGGGCGGTCAACTCACGCGCGGAATTTCGTGGCGAGACCAGAGGCACAAGTCCGATTTGTGGCCAATTTGACTTCCGTTGCAGCCAAGGAAGACCAGCATTCGAAATACAATTGAATCAATCCCTAGCTATCTCAGAAGACCGTTGGATTTCCATGCTGATTCTGACAGGGCTTGAAAGGAAGCGCCACACACACAAAGACACACACACACACACACCTGTTTTGCATCTTTGCCGAAGCTTTTGAGAAAACAGCCTATGAGGAGATCAGAAAGAAAGGGCAATACGTTGGACGACGTTGTTTCAGAAAAACATATATATATATATATCTTTGGAATCCGAAGCGGCACCGAATTGGGGTTTGTCTTCTTGCAGACCTACCTGTAGACAATGTCCATTGCCCTTCAGAAGCCTTCGAAGTGTCTTACAACCAAGACCAGTGTTGTACAACCAACATAAGAGAATGGACACAAAAGCAACGGATCTTTATCCAGACCATGCTTCTGCCGAAGTTGTTCGCCACGTATTTTTTGCCAATTTGGCGTTGAAGGAAATCGATTTCCACTCAAACATTGCGACCTGTGCAACCCGTTCATGCTTCCCTCTGGACAAAAGCGTTTAGAGCTAGTTCACAAATCACTAGAAAGTAGCATGAACATTCATGGGCACAAAGGGTTGCTGCGAAAGGCGGGGACCAAACAGAGCCAAGCAGCGAGGAACGATTTGAAAAAGATTCAGCTTGAATCATATGGCATGAGATCGGGACCGTTTTGATGGGTCATGCCATGTCCACCCTCGCTGTAGTCTACCCAGGTACGCATCAACGCGTTGGTTGAATGCTTGACACATGTTGGCAGTAGCCCCATAAGTCCACTGCTCAATCTTGACAAGACTAGGCTGCTTGTCCAGCAGCTCTTATCGACAATTCCGCGGCATGGCCCAATCAATGCGAGTCATTCGCCTACGAGGAAGGAAGGCTCGAGGGTACTGACGCCTTGCATGAACCCCCTAAGAAAGTAGATTCAATGACCACAAATACAATGAAGTTTCCCCTTTCCTGCCTGGGCGTATGGTCATTCTACATGGAAGCCTTGACATGTTGAGGTGGCTTGGAGTCTCTCTCTGTCAGAGTCATTCCTTTTGGATGGCTCACATCCCTGGCAGTGAACTCTGTTGGAAATGTGCCGAATGAATTCCATAAACTCACTGGCCTAGACATTATAACGGGGGCTCCAGGGTCAACGGGTCGGGTTTTCACCCAGTGCTGAGGACCCCGGTGCCTTCACCCAGGGGCTCCTTCAGGCCATCTCGACTGGGGCAGGCGCTGCCTTTCGCGGAATCCTGAGCTGCCTCGGCGAAAGTCCGCATCGCGAAAGCTCCCAGACGAAGCGATTGAAGTGTTGAATGCTGCAAGCATTCAACAAAGTGTGCTGCTGGTTTCCTTGAATTCCACCCTTGACACAATGAACTGCTCCATGTTCTCGTGATCTGTGTGATGTTCGAAGTCGCCTGACAGGCAGGGAAGTAAATGCAGATGTACTAAACTGGAATCAGCCTTTGGCAAAGGTCAGAACACTCTGCTTGCTGTTATACTCGCCTAGCTGCAAGGATGTGTTCTATTATCTTACACCAGGGACCACACACCACACACCACACGCCACACGCCACACACCGCACACCCCACGCTAGACCACACCACAACAAACAACACAACAAAACACAGCACTGCACAGCACAGCACGCCACGCGCAGCACAACGCAATGCAGCACAGACACACACACACAAACAAACAACACACAAGCTAACACACAACACACACACACACAAAAACAACACACACACACAAACAACACACCCACACAATAACACACACACACAAACAACACACACACACACAAATAACACACACACAAACAACACACACACACACACACACAAACAACACACACACAGCACCCGCACACGCGCGCACACGCGCGCACACGCCCGCACACACACACACACACACACACACACACACACACACACACACACACACACACACACACACACACACACACACACACACACACACACACACACACACACACACACACACACACACACACACACACACACACACACACACACACACACACACACACACACACACACACACACACACACACACACACACACACACACACACACACACACACACACACACACACACACACACACACACACACACACACACACACACACACACACACCACACACCACACACCACACACACACACACACAGACACACAAACACAGAAACACACACACAGACACACACACACACACAGACACACACACAGACACACACACAGACACACACACACACACACACCCACACCCACACACACACACACCCACACCCACACCCACACCCACACACACACACACAAGTTCTCCCGAGAGTACATTGAACCAGCATGCAGCATGAAACATATGAGCAGTTGACCTCAACAAAGTTGGACATGTGTCTGAAAGAATCCCGGATGACCCTACCACATCGCAGATCCTGGTGAGCCAGATTCAGTACACACCGAAAAACTCATCGTCTGTGAAGATGGGCAGTCCCTTAAGCTGACCGGTGGCTGTTTGTGTTCGTCTTTGAATCTCCAAGACCCAACAGTGCCGCACCAGTCCGAACTCCTCACAGCCCCTTGTGGGATGGCTAACTCATGTTTTCTGGCGGTAAAGAGCGACAGAAAGCCTTTGCCCAGCCACGCAACCAACGCAAAATGACACATGCATGATTGGGCCCTATGCTTTGACCAATCTTGGGATTCGGGTCATGGGGAGCAAAAAATATGGGTCGGGAGTGGGGACGCAACCTCATTAAACTGGAATGTAGTATGGGGGTCCAAGTCTGTCTGCCTCTTTTTCTTGAAGAGTGCCCCCTTTTGGTTGGCTTCAAAGAGTTTCCCCTAAGACAAACCTCTCTCCTTTCTTGGGCCACAGCCCCGTGCCGTCCTGAGTGCCCTGCGGGGGTGAGCTCGGATCGGTGTTCTCCTCCTGGGGCTTCCAGAAGGACCATGGACTGCTACTGTCCAGCAGGGTGTCCCTTGCTGGGCCATGGTGTTCAGAACTTCTGAGAAGAGGCCATGGAAGACTAATGGCATAGTCGGCAATTAGCCAAGCCGCAAGATTTCAGCACGAACTGGTGCCGGGACTCGCAAGCAACTCTCACGTTGTTCTGGGACCCTTCAGAACACGTTCTAGTTGGAGATTGAATCCCAAGCGGCGTTGCGCTGATGCTGAGGGATGCTCAGGGTTGTCCTCTTCAAGCGATGCTTTTGTGTAAGGCAAACAGCTAGCCCAGAGAATCAGTTTGCTGGTTGCTGTTGCCTTCAAGTTCAGCAGGGGCTTTGGGGACATTTCGAACTTAGAATGCATTCGGTGGCTCCTTCTCCATGTCTGGCCATGAAGCGGGTTTGTCGGATTTTCTGAGGGTACCTATTTTGAAAATGAAGTTAAATAAACACCAAATGCCAAACCACCATCCTTGGGTTCCAAATTTGAATTTGAGACCAAGTAATTAAAGCACACAAGGTCTCCAGAAAAACCTGAGATGGCCCTGGCCTCTGGAAACGCCAGGGGTGCTCAGTAGTTTGGGAGCGGTCTGAACCATGACTTCTGGAATGCAGTTGGTCAGCCAACCGCACAGACAGGCAACCACTTGCTGGTTTCAACTACTTAAGGAAACCAACCGCAAAAGCCAATCTTCAGGGAAAGTGTCCTCTTGCAATCATTGCGAACCCGTTTAGCGGGCTAGAACTAGACAGTCTCCCTGACATGTGTTGCAAAAGGTTCCGTGTTCACATGGCTTAGCAAACAGCTTCAGCCAGCAATGCTAGCTTGATATTCAAGGAATGATTACCAATAATTAAGTCAAGTCGTTAAAGTCAAGTCGTTAACCGAAAGGATATGGTCCTACACCGAAACGCGCATGCCTAAACAGAAACAAGCAAGATTCAGTTGTTGGCCAACTAACTCAATTAACACATGGAGGGCTTCATTATTTGTGTCCAGATAGGGCAAACCCGAAAAAGGTGGTTTCCATTTGGCTTCCCTTTAAACCACCTAAAGATGGGTACCCTCAAAAAATATGTATATATATATACACACACACGCATTTGCCTTTTCTCTCTCGGTTTCAGTGCCGAGCCTTCGCACTTCGCGGGGTTGGCGAGGGCGAAGTGCTCGGTCGGTCAACCTCCAGCTGCGAATGGTTTTCCTAACCAACAAATTCATGGACGCAAGGAAAGCGCTACTACTTCTTAAGTGGATTGGCCCAACACGTCACAACTGTGTGTTTATCACTAAAATGGTACTCCCAAAAAGTATGAAGTCCCGAAACTCGGGAAGCGAGGCGACGACTGTAATCGTTGCCAGTCATCCATCCCTCCCTCGAGACATAATTATTGAGACATAATCTGCTGGTATGGTCCCCTGGCAGGAAACACATGTTTGAACTGCTGGGTTCGTGGTGTCAGTGATAGGAGGGCTTGTTTGCAAAAGCTTGCTTTTTAGGGGACATTCATGCCACCAACAATAATAACCATGACGAAGTTAATGCGTATGCTGTAGGACATCCTTCATGCCTGAAAAGTCCAAGGGCTTAAATCGGCATAAACCAAAGTGCAGGCCGTACGCAAAATAAATATCTGGACTACACTGATTCTGAAGTTCCCCACGGACTGATCAAATTGGGGGCGGCAAATAGCTGGTGTTCCTATCTGTTCCAGTTGCCATAAGAAGCATTCCCTTTTATTATTCATAACGACAAGCGAACGGACCAATACCTATTCTAGCCTGGAGGTTTAGCCATCCTTTAAAGGTTCGTAGTAACCCTGGACAAAGCCTTCGGGCAAATTGGTGTGCAACTTGGATACCTCTACATCCCCCGCCAGGGGCAGCCGTCTACGCCTTGACATTTCGGCTCCTGGATCTCCCGTGCCTTGGCGCAGGTCACTTGAGGCAACTGGGTGTTACTTTTCATCTGAGCTTTGATTGGGGTTTCTGGGGAACAAACATAAACGTCCCCCTTCTAGTTTCCTTGCGGGTAAATTAAAGCGTATTAGCCTTTTCATGGGATCGACGTTAACCACACATTTGGAAGGGTGTTCCCGAAGAACGAATCAAGGCCCCATCTCTAGGCCTTCTTTGACTCTCTCAAGATCTGAGGTATCCTAAGGTTCTTTTTTGGTGCTCTGCCACGGCGAGCATCGGCCCTCCCCGCCCCGGAAAACCGCTGGAACAGCCAACCGGAAAGCCCCCAGTGTCCAGCGGGGCAACCGGACATAAAGACCCCACGCTCCTATCTTGGCAACGGGACGACCCGCGGACTCTGCCAGGTAATGGGGTACTAGACTACATAGCAGGATGCTATGTTGGATGTTTTGGCTGATGCGTTGCTTCCATTCACAGGTAGAAAGTCCGATCTGTTTTGTGACCTTGACATGTACGAGGTGCAAATGAAGGATTGGGTGGGGGGGGGAAGCCCAACGGCGCAAACAGCATGCAAATGTTCAAGCAATATGCTGATGGCGAGTATGATGATACATGCCAGTGATGAGAATCAGGTGAATAAGATAGAACAACATGAAATCTGAGCTGGATTCTAGATGAAATTATATCAACTGGCGCGTATCATCTTTTATTTTCACAATGCATAACGTGCAATCCCAACACTTGCGAATCCCAGCAAGTAGACCATCTGTCAGCGCTTCGCAATCAAGCACACCTCCCAACTTCCAGGCGCAAACATCGGGTCCCCAACGACGCGGGGGTGTATCATGAGATTAGTCTGGTTACGTTTCGTTGAGTCGTGGGTACCAAGAGTGAGTCGGTAGTACACTTTGTCCCCCATGATGAGTACACCTCCTTCTCCCGCACCCGACCCCTATTTCGTAAAACAACTCGGTGGTCACCTGGGTTCCTCTTAACCGCATGTGCTCTCGATAAGCAACCCAAGGGGAAAGGGCCAGTGCTTGCCCGTGCACTGCTCGGCATGTTCAAGTCCTGAGGTCCTGAAGAAAGGCGAACCTACCCTTCTTTCAGGGGGGCGAAGGCTATTGAAACATACTGCGCCAGTTGAGGTCGTCCCTGGTCCCATAGTTTTGTAGATTTTGCCTCTCTCCTTTCCCGTTCTCCAGGTCAAATGTATTTTTGTAAGAAGGGGAGCTGCAAACCAAGCAATTGAGTAAATATTCAATGCAAGGAAGCGCAGCTGCTTCATGTATCCTCGGGCCCATGTCCCGCTCAGTAGCGCGCTGGTCGGTCGATTCCCACAAAGTCAACCTTGAGGCAGAAAGTCACTCAAAGCTGCAACTCCCAAGATGTTCGATAACGGACTCGTGACATCAACAGAGCAATTAGACATATCCAGGCTGCACTGTACCGGTTTCAGGGTAGTGCCGCAAGGTGCCCTTATTCAACAAACAGCCAATGCCGAGCGCATCCGAGGACGTGGCGGAAGTGAGACTTTCAGGGCCTCGCCTGCAGAAAGGCTCGGTCCCGTGCAGGTCAGAAGAAAAGCATGTTACAAAGCCATCCGTGTGCTTCCATGAAAAATCTGAACATGGCGAGCATCAAGCACTCCGCTGCATGTTTTTACTTGGTGGCCAGTACCATCGCCATTTCTACCCCAACAGTTTAGCTCTTTGCTTGCCCTCCAGGGCAAGCGAGGCTGACACAGGTGCAGCGATGCGGCGACAAAAAGTAGAACGTACACCGCATAGAGGCACGCCCCGCCAACAACCTAAAGCAAGCAAGATAACAGGAGCCGCCCGTGAGGAGCCTAGCGAACCAGCGTGCGCAATCAAACTTTGCGAGAACGAGCCAACGCAACTCGGAGTTTTGAAGCGCCTGGCTAGACAGCCAAACTCGCGTACTCAAAAGCGAACGCGAGCCGGCCGCAGGCTTCAAAGCCACAAAGAAACTTGCGGGAACCCACGGGGAAATCCATGCGGAACGCACGAAAGAAAGCGGTGGCAGTCCGCAAGGAAACCGCTAAGTCCAGGGGAAACACTTGACGAAACCAGTGGGAACCGCAAGGCCCCTTGGAAACTTGCACGAAGCTGGGGTATTTGAGAATGATTTCACCTTTGGAAAAGAAGGCCATTGGTTTCCCAATATTTGGGTTCCCCGTGGGACAAGCCAACACACATGTATATATATATATAAATACAATGTGCATCATGGTATTTCAGCATATATTTCATATTACTCATCTGTGATGTGCTGTCCGATGGAGGCGCGCTCAGCCTAGTTCCAGCACTCATTTATCTTGTATTCAGATACCTGCACTCTCCCTCAATCACAAAGCCGACATCTTGTCAAAAGGTGGTCTCACGTGTTGAAACATTCCAGCTTCAAGATTTCTCAGCCAACGATGATAAGGAATATCTTGCAAGTGCAAGCATTCCAACGTGAGATTTAATACGTTGCCTCGTCGGTTGCTCATAACCTTCTTCATCTTAGCAGAAATTGTTTATCAGGCCTCTCATGAGTTGAGTTCTCACAATCTTTCGCTTGCTGTCTGCTCCTGGCGCTCAGTAGGGGTGTTGGAGTAGCAGGGCAAGCCGCCTAAAAGCCGACAGTGTAAAGCCGTTTTCTTAAGCCCTGAGCTCCGACAGGTGTGAAGCCTTGCCTCCGCGGCTTAGCGGCTTAGCGCCAAACAAATCGAAACCATGAGAATTTGCAATCTGGACACCGGTCAAAGCCAGTCAGGTCCTTTGGTCGCTTTGAAAGCTGCCTGGAAGAGCGCCGTTTGGCAACCGATAGCAACATCCCGACATGCGTGAACACCTAGCCAAATACCATTCGTATCTGCTCCTGCCTGGCTCGGTTCCCGGCCGGGCAGCCTGCGGAAATGCGATGGAGGATCGCACGGACTTGCGGGGTCCGGAGATGGGCTGCGACATGTTCCAAGGCCATGAGAGATTCCTGATGCATCGAGCCCAGGGCCATGCTTTCCTATCTGCCTCCGGGTGGTTTGTCTGGGAAACAAGCCAAACAGTGGCGGCCTCGGCGCTCGCATTCCTATTTGCATTTCTGGCAGGCACTGCAAGAAACAGCACTGGGGAAAATCGGAAGATCCTTTGCACACGACATGGACCCTTCCTCGAACGGATTGCTAGGCTGAACACAATCCCGGCGAAAAGTAAGCTGTGCCTTTACAGCCCTGATAGAAGCTCATCACTGGATGAACCGAAGGCGGCGCAATCTTTTGAGTATTACTTAATGTGGATAGGACACTGGTCACTCCAAAGGGACGCCAGCTACCAAAATCGGTTAGTTTCAATAACGGGCTCATGTTGCGAACAATCCTTTGTTGCAACTCGGCATGGGCAGGAAATGCAAGAATGAGTATTGCTTGGTGCTGATGCCTGTTGAACTAGAGTGTAGCAGTCTCACTCCACCCAACGTTGCACACCTACACTGCTCTGCATGCCCAAGCAAAGCCTACTGGGATGCCTGTGCTGAAACCCATGAGGGTCTGATGTTCCCATAGTTGTAATATTCCGTGTCTTTGCGATAACACACATCCACAAATCCCCCCTCCCCATGCAACAAGTACCCGTTCCACAAACAGGCATTGAAGCCGTTTCTCACCTGGTTGCAATGGTTGACATTTTTCAAAATTCAACCCTCGAGCAGCGAGCCAAACATTTAGGACGGAAGTTCGCCAGTGGAGCAAAGCAGTGGGCGCCCACTCCTTTGGTACAGAAATCACTCCCGCTGGGCCGTGCCTCTGATGGTACTGACCTGTCGATGGCTCAAACTCTGGGTGTGTGAGGCTTTGGCCCCTTTCCACCAAATAAAAGAAAGTAAGATTGGGGGGCCCCTCTTACGTCTTTCCGATTCGCTTCGCCTGCCCGATGAGGTCCATGCACGCGATACGTGCAGTCTTGGCCCTATAATTTATCAGTTGCCCGCTGTGCTTGAGTGTGAGGAACTCTGCAACCGGAAGAGTTTAGCCAGGTCAAAAGGTGGTTGCCGTGATTGCAAGCCTCAACATGGAATTTCTCGGGAGCCCTTTTGAACATGTCGACTAACAGGTGTCTGCGGACCGCAAACGTCCAAAAGCTGGGTTGATGAGATCAGTGGGCCCTACGCAAAGGCTCAGAGCCTAAACCACTACTGTGTGTCAAGCAACTATAGAAACTGAACGAATGCTTTGACAAAGCACTATCCCGTAAGAATTGATGGTGCCAATTTCCTTCTCCGTCTGAGGTAGAGCAAACAAACCAATTAGCCCGGGTCAAGTCGAAACTGATTGATTCTCTTCTAGTCTCTCAGTCTCCACTTCAAGCGGACGCTGGGTCGCATGACAACTCCAGACTCCCTAACCTGCACCGTTGCGGCGCTTGAAGTTCCACCCGAGATTACTGTGGACACAAGGAGTAGGACGTCCCTGGTTGTAGGTGACAGAGATCCTAATCTTGGTACCTAAAGGTACAACCCAGAACAGGTCCAGCTGGTAAAAGGAAACATGGAGTTCTCTGGCAATGATTCCTTTCCCTGAGAGTCCAAGTACCTTCTGACGAGGCAATTGAATACCGCTTCAAACCGCGTATTGCTATCACCGGGCACTACCCGGGTTTTCTTGGCTTCCAACCCCTGGGTCGGGCTGACCCAATGGAGCTGCCCCAATGGTCTGAGTTGTTCAAAGAGCCAAGGGAAAACACTTAAACTTTTGGGACCACCAAGAATGGACCAAAAAGAGGAAACTAAAAGGTCAAAAGGTCGATTCGCTGTGGGCAAGTGAGTGGCGCAATGGGAGAGGCGCCTTGGGCTTGGCCCAATCTTCTCACCTGGCGGTGATGCAAGCCGAGCTGGCACCCAGCTCGAAGAGACACCCGACTTCTGGGAGCTGTGCCATAAAAAGGCTATGAAACGGTTTGGGCAGCAATTGGGGCCTTTTGGGATGGAGCCAGAATGGGAAGGCGAATCGCATAGCTCAAAGTCTCCCTGGTAAATATACCACTGGCAACCATTTCCCTGTGAAGGCATGGGCTGTGCTGAAATTACGCAACACAGCACGCAGAAAAGGAGAGGGCCAACAAACAACGCAAACCCTAGCTGCGTGCATCCTGAGCGTCTCCGCTCGACTCAACAGTTCCATGGACATGTTTTGGCTCTGTTGGTTTCCTGCAACGACCAGACACGCTGTGTTGCAAATCGCAAGCTTCCAGCTCACTGACCCTGACACTTGAGGGCTTGTTCGCATCCAAGGCAGCCTGGACCTTGTTCTCTCAAATGTGTGTTTGCCGACGTCGACGTTCATGAGTTCAGAGCAACTCTGAACCAACCAAGTTGATGCGATTGCGCGTGATTCTACAAGTATATTTGGGTGGTGCTCTGAATATTTGTTCTTCCACGGCTGACGTTGGTCAATTTGACGCGATTCTTTGCTCACGAGGGCTAGTCTGACCCTGTCCGGTAGCACAATACGAGCTCGGCGTCAACCCTGGTTGTCCGGCTTGCTCCGCACTCGCTGGAGTGGCAATATCAAAGTCAATATTACAGCAACCCGAACGCTCCTTGCAAGGATGCGCCGAGGAAAGGCCCTCAAAAAGGCCTCATTCACGGTGGGCGGAAGCTACAAAAAACTAAAGTCCTCGTTCTCTTCGTCCTTTTCCCGTCTTGTTTTCTGTCTGGTTTCTTTCGTTCCATGTTTCTTTCCTCCCTGCCCTTCCCTTCCCTTCCCGTTCCTTCCCTTCCCTTCCCTTCCCTTCTCTTCCCTCCTTCATTCTTTTTTTCTCTTTCTCTCTCTGTCTCTCGCTCTTTCTTGCCTTCCTTACTTTCTTCATGTCTTGCTTTCTTCCTTTGTGCCTTTCGCTTTTCCTTTAAAATGACTTCTCCACGCTTAAGCTTTTCACCAATTTACTTCGCTACTTATTTACCTAGCTCATCTGTCGGCCTGAGCTTCCTTTGTATCCATTCATCTATCACTTCCTACCAGTCCATTTCTCAATCTATCTGTCTATCTGCCTTCCTATCTACCCATCTCTGCCTGTGTCTGCTGCATTCTACCGAATCTTTCTATTCATGGACCTAGCCTTCCATTCTGTCTGCCCAGTCATTTATCTGTCTTTGTGCTTATGTAGCTATCTAGCAACGTATCTTCCTTTCTATGAGTTATCCCATAAACCCAGCTATCTATCGATCTATCCTTAGATTTTGGCCATCTGGCTATGAAATCTGTGTCTCTTTGTGTACTCTGGCAATCTCACGTTCCATCTGTCAATTTCTATCTAACCTCGCTTTCTCTTTATCCATCTATCTATCTATACGTCTGTATTCTATCAAATCTGTTTTTCCGTTCTCGCAGACTTGTCGTGCGATTGCCACGCAATCTGTACCAGACCTTGCAAAAAGGCCGTGAAACCTGTACCTCGCCTTTGCGAAAGTGACGTGCCTGCCACGAGCCTACGCCCTCACCATGCGAAGCGCCTCCCACAAACTGTCCCCTCGCTTTGCGAGAGTGCCGCGCCTGTGGCGAAATCTGCTCCAAACAATGCCAAAGTGCTGCTCTGCCATGAAAGCTGCATCTTACCTTGCGAAAGTGCTGCGCTTGCCACGAAATCTGTACCTGACCTTGCCAAAGTGCTGCCCTGCCACGAAAGCTGCACCTCAACAGTGCTGAGGCTGCCACGCAATCTGTACCTGAACGTTGTGCGCGCGTCAGTGTGAATGGGATCGGCTCCAAGAGCACTCCGAACGTCCGCTCCGACCAGGCGCCGAAATCAGGCTAACTGGCGAGCATCCGAAGCAACTAAACGCGCAAAGGGCTGCACTTTTGAGACATGTCTATTCCCCCGTTACACGCTCACGCATCTTTTCAGAAGTGCTTATTCTGTTTGTTTTCTCCGTCAAGCCGTGGACAGTTGAATACCCTGAGCGCAGCTTCTTGTGGTAGATACCCCCAATTGCTGTTCTCTTGTCTTCTGTCTGGTGTCAGAGAGCTAGCTGATAAGTAGTTGCCGAACCATGGAAGCTCCTTCTAAACTTGCTTTGATAATGAGGCCACTGACTCCCTGCGATCGATCAGACCCGCCGTTGGGCTCCCAAACACCATCGAGCAAAAATGAGGCGCCATGCCACTTGCCTGACTGTCTTGACACACACACACACACATCTGCAAATCAAAGGTTGGAACAGTAAGTTGTTCAAACCAGAATGTGCAAAAGGCTCACGTGCGTCCTTTTGGCACGTGGTAAAGGAAAACCAAGAAGCTCAAGTCTGTGACATGGGTGTGCCTGCTTGTGAAGGTGCCCGTTGAATATGTAGAGGTGGACCTTTCGCTCCCTTGTGCAAACAAGCGGCAAAGGGTCCATTTTGGGAATCACCGAAAGACCGAAAGCTCGAGCGGTTGTGCCTGGCTCCTCATGGCTTGGCGATGCGGGACGCCTGCGGTTAGGCGGATGGCGGCTGCATCAGACTAGGAATAAGGGCTCTGGACAACTTGGACCACGTTCATCTCCCCATGTGGCTTGCATAGGGCCCTGAATCTCACGTCCCGGAACTCAAGGGTAAACCCCAAACCGGAACACGAATCTGTCACTATCATCATGTGCCTGTCACCCGCAAAGGGGTCGCTTTGAAACTGCCCGCTCGAGCGAGCGCGCAGCCCCAGAGCGATACATCACAGGTAGGAAGATGAGGGGAGGAAATCTGACAGTTTCTGTTTGATTGCTCTGCAAAAAATGAAACATTCATCTAGTCATCACCCTCGCCATCAAACGGTGTTGGCGAACCTTCCCAAGACCCCTGTATCCTTGCAAGGAACTACTCATCATTCACGGCTGCTGCACCCCTTGAGGCTGCACTCACCGCAACGCAGCGGAAACCGGAAAGCTGGGGCATTGGCGTGGAAGTGGTCGAAGAAGTATGAATGTCTCTGATCTCTCGCGACACAGTTTTCTGCACACCTGGGCAAGAAGGTGAAAACTGGTCAGGGGTCAAGATCTGCATGCGAGAGAGAGAGAGAGAGAGCGAGTGCATGGATGCTTTTGCAACATGCTTTTAGTATTGGTTCCTGGATGTTCAGAAACTACCAGTTGGCTCTGTCTGCTTGCTGACAGATTGGCAATCTCATAACCTGCTCATCCGATCGCACGATTACGAACTCCGCCGCTTCACGGTTCTAAAACTCCCACCCGGATGGGCATGCCTTTCCAGATTGGATTGTTCTGCATTTCACAGACCGGTCACAAATTCGGGGACGCATCTATGAAGGGAACCCCAAAGGAGAACTAACCAACTGAATAAAGGGTCCCAGAGTTTAAAGAAAGTGCAATATTATCCGGCAACTTGGCGGAGTCATGGGCATCGATGGATGGAGGAAGTGGGGTCTGCAAGGGGTTACTTCTGAACTACAAATCCTTGAATCCCCAGTGTGCCAGCGAAAACAGACTTCAGCGACATTGACCATGTCTTTTTTCTGGCTGGTGGAGTTGCAATAAATGGGGAGGCAACCACAACTACAAACAACCACACACCCACACACAAACACGCCAAAGCCGGTGAAACAACTGGACTAGGAGAGAACAGATCCAGATTGCTCGACATATAGTAGTAGATGGAAGCAAGTGCGCAGCAATATGAATCTGCAGCCTAACATTACAGTGTGAGATCAGCCAGGAGAGGTGATTCTGGGAAGCCCTAGAAGAATCACAGCAGGTTGCATTCGAGATCCCTAAACGGGCTGTGTGCAAACGGAATCTGTTGCCATTTGAAGGGTAGCGATTTTGACAAACTCTACATATTGAAACAGTCCTTCGAACCTATCTGCCCCTTGATGGTTTCGGCTGTAACACATAGCATCTACTACATCGGGGAAGAAGGCACTACATTGGAGGCAGCATAGGAACCCACCAAACAAGGGCCATACTCAAGGGTTTTTGAGTCTTCCCTCGCTCGTGATGTGGGGATTCTAAAAAGTCATGTGGCTTTCTTTTTGGGTAAATTCAAGCTATGGGCTATGTAATGCTATTCAGCACCCAGGACAGCAAAGGGATTTCATCAGTGAACACGGGCATCTATGGATGTCTCCTGGCCCCTGAACACAAAGGATACGCACTGCTATTGGTCTTGCCGTGCCTAGTGTTGCAAGAAAACACCAGAGACGGGGCAAGTTTAAATTGGGGAATGTTTGGACATGATCAACGTAGTGATTTTTGTCCAGCAACCGTTCGGGAGGGTTTTCCAAACCAAATGGGTGTCCTTTTTTGAGGGAGCCCTCCTATCTTTAGATTCAAAGGCACGCCGAAGGACTCCAAACATTTGCCAAGAAACCAGCTGCAGCTACCCACAAATTGCTGGAAAGTCTAAAAGACGTTGCAACATACTTGCCAAAACCAGTTTGGCTAACTTCCTGTAGATTCTCCGGCAGGTTTCTCCGACAGTTGGGGTCTCTTCATTTTTGGGAGACATGTTGAAACTCCGACCGGCCAACCCATCGATGCTTGCGGGTCCGGGGCTTCGGGCCATGGGGTGCATCGGGCACTGAGAGCCTACAGGCGTTGCAGCTTGGGCCCTTGGTCTGGGCGCTAATAGGCGGTCTGGAAACATAAGACTCCCCAGCCCTTGGTCTCCGCTTTGGGGAAATTTCAATGGCCAGTTTGGGCACAGAGTGGTGGTGGACGATTCCCCCTGGTGCGTGCCACAGAAGCGTCAAAAACACAATTGTCCAGTCATGGTCCTTTTTGCTCAAACTGGGATCTCAATTGTTTGGGCAACCTCAAGGTGTTTCCCCAAAGAAACTGGGCTGCTCAAACCGGGGTCCTGATTTTTCGAATCGCTCCAGGGAAAAGACGTATCCATCTGGCATATTATAATGATATTGAGGATTGATTTTGAACCCAGCCTTGGGCCCTTTGGGCATCTCTGGGGTTGTTCTCACGCAGGGGTGTCCTTTCATTCTGGGGGTGGCCAATTCCTAGGATGTGAATCTTCCGTGCTCCACAAAGAAACCCCACAACAACCAACAAAAAGCAGACTTGCTGTCCGACCAACCTGCTCTGCATACTGATCATCACGCAGCTGTCCGTCACGCCGATGATCGCTTACACTCCGATTCAAGCAATGCTGCGACGATGGTACCCTGGTACCATGGACTCATCGAGAATTCCTCGAGCAATGCATGAGGGAAAACCACCCGGCAGTGCCATTGCTACACGCGACAGTCCAATTTCTACATGTGTACTTTTCGCATCCTCGAGCCATGCCGTTATGCCATTAAATCTCGCCACGTACACGGCCTAAAGCTCCGAGTCGCCCAGTCCCAAACGTCTCCCTCCTTGCCTTGAGACGCCATGCGGCGGCAAATCCTCGTTGGCCAGCCTTAGAGACTTGTGACACCTAGATGTGTGCAACATCCCGTGGCCGCTTCGGAAACATAGTTTGTGTGGCGCCTGTTTTTGAGAAAGCTAACAATGCCAACAAAGGGGAGCAACTGTGTGCACTGGAAAACTGCCTGAATTGGCATGGCTGGCCGCTTCCCGAAATGGATCTCACGTACCAGCCTGTAATATGTTCAACTGGGCTGGTGCTCTTTGGTCGCTGATCTTCAACACATACCTCCGTGGCAAAAGCTTGATGGGCATTCTGCGCCTGCCCCGCTACTGTCTCAAACAGACCCACTGGACCCATGCTTACGCCACAATGAACGTAGGTGGCACAATCCCCTACATTGTGAGTAAAGGGGATGACTAAATGCAATTTGTTGATGGGTACGGCTTTTCTCACCTCGCAACAAGTCAGGCAGAGGGATGAGCTGGATCCTGGTTATGTTTGAATATAGGGTTCTATTGGCCAAGCAACGCGACTTGTTTATTGACATCAAGACACTTACAGGGGAGTTGTCAAACTAGGGGCCCTTGTTGGTGCTCGGTACCCTTTAAAAAGCGACTCATGACAGCACAGGGCTTCAAACAGGCATACCATTGACACTGTCAAAGCTCGCTTGCCAACCTGGGTCCCAAGGCAAAGTGACCTTGGCGCGAGCCTTGCTGCCTGGCGCGGCTGCAGGCGGCAGCCAAAACCCGTTCGCATTTGGTTGATTCGTATCACGGACACTGCGATGAAACTGTGCCAGCTGCGGGCAAAAATGCTTCAAGGCGTGCCTGGAGATCACCAGTCCCGATTTTTCTTCATGGGTAAATCACTGGCTCAACATGGCCGCTGACGTTGGTCCGGCCAGGGGAGCCCCCATTTGCAGCAACCAGTAGTGAAGCCAGGGGCAATTGTGTTGCCTCCACTAAGTTATTGAAATTACAGTTTTCATTTTGGTTTCCTGTAAAACCAGCCAAAGGGGTACCACGCCTCAAAAACACGCAGCCAAATCGCTCCTTTTCTCTCAGGAGTGCTTGAGATAGAATCTTGGTCCCGTGAAAGACGCCAGGATCTTGGTCCAAGCTTTTGGTACACCTAAACACGATGTCCAGTTACCCCAAAGATTAACTGACACCAGATATACCAGGTACTGGGGATGGCTTTTCCTTAAAATCCGTCTAGTTCAGATAACGTAGGGAGTTGTTCCCACCTCTCCAATCATGTTAGCCTTGGCGCATTCTTGACTGGCGGAGGCTGCGGGCCAAGTTAGCTCGTCCATGTTGTGGGCTCGCAACCAACATCTCATCATCTCCTGGTCCTCTGATGTGGGGCTACCCTCCCCCTTCCCTCCCCCCCAACAAAAAAGCAAGAAGTTCAAGCTGTTTGGATCGCACGAAAGAACTTCACACAGTATGTAGATAAGACACTAGCACGTTGCATTATCCTATATTGATGATTTATTTCATTGCTTGATTAAACATGAAATGGACACCTCCTCCTGATATGTTCTTTCACACTTCACCAATTCAGTGGCTACGTTTCCCCCCCCCCCCACCCGTTTATGTCAAGTGTGCCATGACCATGGCCAATACTTCTACTGTGCGGCTTATGGTTGTGAGCAAAATGTAGCCTATGAATCACGGGTACCCTCCTCCCAACTGTAAGGAGCTACCATCTTTCTTCTTTGGCCAAATTGCGGCAAACCGCCATGCACAATCGCTCTGCCAAGATTTAATAAGGTTCTCAGGAACGGACAGTTTGGGCAACGCGTTTTCTCGGCCGAAGCAATGCACAGGAGCTCTTCTGCCACTTAGAGCCATGATGGCCACACTCGAAAAGAACTGCAAAATTCATTGATAGCCACAAAACAAGCGTGGCACTTTGACTAGCTCGGCCCCTCTGAAAAGGCGAGCTGTGTTCTTCAAGGTGGCCCTCAACAGACGCTCCCTATATTTCCCTTGTATAACACATCACTAGAGGCCCTACAGTACCGATGGAAAATCGCCTTGAATGGGCGAACAAGGAGATGTCAAGATCACCAAAGAGGAAACCCTGGGGACCCATGGGACCCTGGCAACATAGGCTTGAAATGGCAACGAACCAGGCTCAAAGAGATGGAACCGCTGGCCGAGCGGCGTGGGGCACTCGCCCGCTCCAAAACACTCCGCTCAGTGACACCTCAGAGTCTCCCAGTTTCCCAGTCTGGGGCATTGCCATGGACAATGGCATCTTTGTGCCAGATATGTCAAAGTTCCCATGGCCCAACTCTGGGGTACAAGATGTTGCCATTCAGATTGCTCATATTTGGTCTACTCTATGAACACCCTCTTTTTCGTAGTTGACTTTAAGCGGAACCCCTTGCCAAGGGATAAGTAGAGCAACCTACTGGAGGTCGGGGGTTTGTCGAAAGGACCCCACCAAAAAACAAGACAGGTTCAGCGGGACAAGAGAAGCAAAATGCCCATGGCAAATTCTCCCACATTGGTAGCAATGATCAGTTCTGAAAACTAGCTTCATGAGCTCGCAACAGAAAACAATCGTAGCACGCACTTACTTCTGATGGATTTAACGTTGGTTTTCCTGCCAAGTTGATGTTTGTGGAGTCCACTGAGGAATTGAGCACGAGGTTGATGTGGATATTGTCGATTCATAATCACGCTGTTGGCAAAGAGAAGCCACATTGACTGGCGTTGAACCCATTACTTAGGCCAAGTCTGCTACGCCCACTAGTCAGAAGTTAAGCGAGGCAAACATGTGAAGTAGACAAATGCCAAAGCGCTTAGATGTCAAGATAGCTTCCCGATGTTTCCCCTCAAAACATCACCAAGGGACGCTCACCAAGGGACGCTCACCTTTGGGCCAAAAAGGTGATGCTGAAAGCCGCTAAAATCGGACAATGTAGTGGACCCCTGCCGTATGTGAGTGCCTTTCACTTTGCCAGTCTTACACAGAAAAGGCTCTCCGGCAAGTCCAAAATGGGAAAAACTGTGCCTTGAAAAGGTTGCAGGAACCGCTTGATTGGAGCAGCCAAAAGCAAACAAAGGGAGCCCAGAAACATGCGTTTTGGAATCACCCAGAAACAAGCACTTATGCAAACAGAAAGACACCACTCTTTGTTGCGCATGGATGTGAGATTGCTGCTTCTGCAATTTGTAGCGGGTGCCCCCGCCACGACCGAACTTTTGCCTGCCAGCTTACACCCCCGAATCACTCGAGGCGAACGCTGAATCGTCCAGAGGATCTTGACGTCGGTCGATCGGGCACCTGGCAACGGTTCAACCCATCAAAGGAAAGCATGAACAGTCCGAATGCGCACCTGCGGTTTTCGATGGTTTCTCAGTTTGCCGCATAAATGAGCGTTGCGTGTTCATTCATGAAGATACAAGTGTAGCACGAATCCACTCTGGTGTCCAAAGACAAAGCGGGCAGCGCATGACCGTGGCTTGGAGCTCGTCAATCTCCAGCTTGTGCTGCTCCATCAAGTTGAGGAACGTGTTTGTCGCGGCTCCATCAAGTCGAGGAGCGTGTTTGTCGTGACGGGCTTGCCTCTGTGCAGCAGACTGAAAGCAGCGGCCATCCCCATCATCGAGACCTCTTTGGCGCTGGCTTGTCGAACTTCGCAGGGCACTTCGGCTGCAAGCGCTTGTGCCCAAAAAGGAACGCAGAAGTTGGACTGATAGCCGGGGTTTCCGTCACAGCAAACATCAAACCAGTTTCCATGGACTATGTGTGACGCAACACAGCGCAACACATGCTGACATGCTGTGACAATTCCCGGTGGACGGATAACTGCTGCCAACAGGTGTATGTTTGAAAACCGGCCAACAGGAATATCATGAAAACTCAGCAAGTGTGTTTGAGCTTCGCGAAGTCTGCCTGCGCTTCACTGGTGTTGCAAATCTACGGGGGAAAGACAATTAAACCATTCAAGGCAAGCCGGGATCCAAGGGAAGCCCCCATATCTGTGACATCCTCCGTCGCGTGCATGGGGAATGTCAGTGTGTGTTGATGTTTCTGTGTACGTGTGTCCCTCTCTCTCTCATTGTCTGTGTCTGGCTGCCTGTGAATGTGTCTGTGTGTGTCTGTGTCTGAATGTGTCTGTGTCTGGGACTAGGTCTGTGTACGTTGAACATCTCTGCACTTTCGCGTGTACGTGTACGTGTGCGTGTGCGTGCTCGTGTGCGTGTGCAAAAGCGCGTGCGTGCGTACGTACCAAGCGTATGCGCGCGGGTGGGCGGGCGGGCGGACGCAGTCGCGCACACGTGTCGCGCAAACGTGTGTCTGTGCGTGTTTGTGTTTGAGTGTTGTGGCGTTTATATATATATATATATATATATATGTGTGTGTGTGTGTGTGTGTGTGTGTGTGTGTGTGTGTGTCTGTGTTTCTGTATATCTGTGTCTGTTTGTGTGTATTTTTGTGTGCGTCTGTGTGCGTCTGTGTGCGTCTGTGCGCGTCTGTGTGTGTTTTTGTGTGTCTCTGTGTGTGTGTGTGTGCCTCTCTCTCTCTTCCTGCTCCCTCTCTGTGTCTGTGTGTCACGATGAGTCTGTGTATCGGTGTCTGTGTCTGTCTGTGGGTGAGACTTTGCTTTGCACATCCGCTATACAAGATGCATGTACATATCATGGCGGAATCGTAACATTCAAAGGTCCGGTGAGGTGTGGTGACTACATGGATAGAATGGACTGGCTCCCTCCGGATATGCGGGGATTCTCCCCTGACACTAGAGCCGAGACCAACAAAGGCTTGTTCGATATGAAGAAAGAAGCTCGCAACCAATATAATATTGCAAAACGGAGCAAGGCTGCCAGTAGCCTGGAGAACACATCAAAAAATGGTTCAGTACAGTGAGACACAACTGTGGGTGTGACCGCAATGCTGCCGGTGCCAATTCTGCTTCGATATTTGGGTGCTGCTCACATCTGCTTAAGACTCAGGCCTGCGGGTCGTTGTCAAAAACGGCCAAAGGGTTCAAATTCGTTGCAATGTGGGACAATTGCAGTTAATTATAATACCATCCCGAATGCAGAAGAAATCTGGCAAGGTCGCCAGTCATGTAAGCTTTCTGAGGGCACCAAGTCTTCACTGAAGGAGCATACACGACTTGCGCACAACATACAGCTGAGCGTGTGCTACCGTCTTGGCTTTGGCAAAAGTCAAAGCAACATTGGCAGCCTTGCCCCTTTTAGCATGCCCCGCCCTCCCGCCCCTGTCCTTCCAGTACGTTTTCCATCTGACCTCTGCCTTCTACCATGCTGGTACCAAACGCTTCGGAGTGCGTCAATCTGTTAGCTGCCACACGGCATGAAAGGCTGATCTTTTGGGACCCAGACCAACAAAGATGACCAACATGGGAAAACCAAAAGGTCCAACAGTCTAGATTAAACGAGAAAACTAATCAAAACAAACAACAACTCCAATAAGAAGCCCGCCAGTTGAGGCAGCCCGCTCATCTGAAACAACCCCAGCCACCCTCCCAGGCAGTCGAGTGAGGGCTGTGGCGCCCTTGCGGACTGAGCACAGGTCACTTGGGCGGGTTTTGATGGCCGCAACACGTCAAACACACAACACAAACAATTCACAGGCGACGCAAAACATACACAAAGATCTGCTTCGAATGGAGAACACATTGCGTTCTCATGCTATCCAAAAGGCTGAATGGTCAAGCTGGGCTGCTCCAAAGACTTCAGAAGGCTAGAGAAGAAGACCCTAGTCAAGGGAAACCAAAGGAAGCCACGCCAATGGAGACCTTGAAGGGTGCCAAACAGTCACGTGACCTAACCTCCCAGCAAGCACCGGATTTCTGCAGCCTCGTAGCGGTCATTCTCCACTTCAAGAGCTGCCTGGAAGCTGGTTCGCAATCCCATGGGTTGCTCACTGTTGACTCAGCTTCTGCCGATTCAAGCACCGCAGTTCAAGGGGAAAACCGCGAAGCTGGACAAAGTAAGTTTACACCACTGACTCCTGAAAGGTGCAGCCAAAGAGCAAACCAACAACTGGAAAGGGACCCCTTAGAGGAACCAACACGGATGGTACAGTTTGGAATCGGTCACATTTCTTAATGACGACTTCGGATTCTTCCGGGCTGGACCAATCAGGGGCGGTTCCTCCGTTAGTCAGGAAAAGCTCTAGCAAGCCCTCCGGGCTGCACAAGCCACCCGCGCCTTGGACATGGGGCTGGGGCTATTGGAAGTGCTCCGAGCGGCCTGCAGTAGCGCCATAGCCTGAGTCGATCAACACGAGTCGGACAGGGCTTTCCCAACTCTGAACCCGTCTTGCGACCTCCATTTTACCTCATAGATAATGACCCAAAGGAAAGGGTCGAAAAGAGACCCGTGTTTGTTGGAAAGAGTGCCACTGAGAAGCATGGAGTTGAGCTGCCTTCGGTTTGCTTGCGAGAGGAAGCCATGAAACTCGAGCCCGTTCGGAGAATGGGAAAGAGCCTACATATTCCGAAAAGCCAACAACAACGATCCGGCTAGGGACGTGTAATTACTTCCGACGTGAAACGCTGGCTGCCTTTCCTTCCATGAGGGCTCCCTCACCAACTCCACTGCAATCCTGAAAGCAGGAGCCTCTTTGGAGGATGGCTTTTGAGGACAACAAAGGCGAACCTCGCGTGGGAGTCCGGGTCTTCGCTTGGAATCCGCCGATATGGCAGCAAGATTGCTGAGAGGTTTCAGAAATGGATGGACAGCTATACTCCCTGTGGCCCAGTGACTCCGGCAGAAGAATTAAAGGGGGCCCATTTTGGGGTAACAATGACACAAATTATTCTCCTACTATCATTGCTTCATCTGGTTTTCAAGTACCCTACAATCCCATTCTACTTCTAAGCACTAGCCTCTTCTACGAGTGGCACCACATTTTGAGAAACACCAAACAATTGGGGGCAACATTGTGAGTGACTATTTTATTCCTTTCTTTGCCAGGGCAACTTGACGCTCTCATGGCACATTGGGAAGGTGTCTTAAATGCCTATAATTGGCTCAAGGTGGTTCAGGGTGTGTGTTTCAGGTTGGATCAGGGCTGGCTAAGGGTGGGTAGGCTTTGCTGAGGGTGGGCTTAGGATGGGTTTGGTGCAATTCGTTGTAGAACTAGTGTGTTCAATGCAAAAACTGGAATCTGCTATGAAAATACTTGGATTGTACGCTCCATGACACCTGCCGCGTTTGATGTGTAACTCAAATCCACAGTCAAGGGAAGAGCCAATCCTAACTCAAGGGCATAACTACTTGGATTGATTGAAAGGCCGACTCTGCACAGGCGCACATCACGGTATGAACAAAACCTGCGAAGAATTAATCTGCAATTCACCCGCAAGCAGGAATCCTCCAAGCGACGCTTCATTGGCATATCGGTCTATTAACCAGTCGACAAAGCTTGGATGACGGAGGCTGATTCTGCTCGATTGAAACAGCACATTTTGGAAGCCTGAAATGTCTGTTGGTGACTCAAAAATGAGTCTCTGAAATGAAACCACTTGAGCGGGGCCTGTCTCAAGAACGGGGAACTTCCTGTAGTTTATAACAGAGTCCGACTCTCTTTCTCTCTGTCTCTCTCCCTCTTCTCGCTCTCTCTCTCTCTCTCTCTCTCTCTCTCTCTCTCTGTACCGTTTCACAGTACGAAAGGAGTCCATCAGCCTCGGTATTTGCTTTGCTTGCCAGGGTAGGTATACAAGGACGTAAGCAACTAGTTGGGGGGGCGGTCGTGGGATGCATCAAATTAAGTCATCACAGGAGAATCATGAGCATCCTTACAGTATCATGTTGGAAGCGCGAACTCACTATTCTCACTTGCAAACCAATGGCCGTGGTGCAAGCAACTGGAACCATTTTCCCTTAAGATTTGCGATTTTTAGCGGGACAACAAACAAACAATGGAAAACGGGTGCCACCGAATAACTGGCTTTGTTAATGGAGACCGAAGGATGCCAATTTCGTCTTGATACCGCACATTCTGTCCAAGCGTGCCATTCTTGCACTCTCAGCTCTGCCCTTAAAACTCCAGACCGTTTGTGGAACATCTCGTCGCCGGGCCCGGGATCCGGACGCGTCCGGAGGCGAACTTGTGAGCTTTAACACTTGCAGGCGGCGCCGGCCCTGGAATAGGTCACATGGGCTGGTTGGATTGACTCAGAACAGTGTTGCTCCACGATCTCTGGCACATGGGTAGCATGATAGAAGAATGGTTCTTTGTTCACAAATGATGAAACATAAAAGGCAAATCTAGGGAAACAGGGAACATGACTATTAAACAACTACTTGAGGTTTGTCATCTTGAAAAGACTCGGAGCAACCCTGCAAATGATGCGAGCAAGGGGCCACTGCAGTAGTAGACACCCTGTGACGCATTGGTAAATTCTTCGTCCAGCTTCCCGAAATGCATCTGTAATCATTGACTCTTCTGTGCTGAGAATCACCGAGCTTCCGAAACAGGTGCGGGCCCTAGCCAGGCCACGTTTCCTTAGCATACTCTGGACACCAGCTCCTTGTACAAGTTGCGCCGTTGGACAGCCTGGTATGCACTCTTGGACGGCCCTTCATTTCCCTTATCGCAAAAGCCCCGTTTCTTAGCGTTATTGTTTCTTGATGCCTCCTTCATCTCTTCCTTCATTTCCATTCGTCCTGTTGCTTGTATATTATCGTCGTCGTCGTTTGTTTCTTTCCGTGTTTAACCACCCCTGTATAAGTTTGTTTGTGGAGCGTTGCGGAAGCGGCAAACAAACGCAATCACCAGGCAATGCGTGCCCGCGCTGTGTTTCGGAGAACGGTGAACCACGTACCCCGGCCGCGCTTACAAACTGCCATTTCTGCGGAGGGGATGTTGCGCGCGCGTGTGTGTGACGAGCTGGTTGAAGAATGCATGCACAAAGCCCATGTTGTGCTTGGCCACCGACTTGACTGCAATTGTCCGTCTCTTGTCTGCAACGCGAGTGGCCGAAATGCCCACGCACTCAACAATAGCAACGTGTGAAAGCTGTCTCTGCATGTAATTAGATAGAAATACACTGGCTACAGTGTTGAAACAACGTATTCACCCCGCCAGGTTAGCCATTGTAACCTGGAAGACAAACAAAGCGTGAACATGGAACACACACACACACACACAACACATAGACTCTTGGCAGTGATGCAGGGCTTAGTTCAAGCACACACAAGTTGAGTTGATGTGCATCAGTTGATTGAGCAACTCATTAAGTATGCCGCGATTTGGCACGCCGTGTTGCAAATCCTTGCTCAGACTCAGGTAGCAAACTGTCTCTGTCTCTCTGTCTCTGTCTCTGTTGGAGTCTGTCTGTCTCTCTCTCTCTCTGTCTGCCTGTCTCTGTCTCTCCCTCTCTCTGTCTGCCTGCCTGTCTGCCTGCCTGTCTGCCTGCCTGTCTGCCTGCCTGCCTGCCCACCCAGCCCGTCTCTCAACTCAACATGGTCAAGGTTTGAATACGGGACCCGGAAAAGTGTTACCTCTCCGCTTCTGTCATCTTTCGAGGGAACCTTTTTGAGGTTGCTTTTAGGGCAGTAAATCGCCCTTTCTGGCGAGTGACATAGTAGACTCGGAATTAGGCTACAACCCGCTCGGCTGGAAGCATGGCGGCAGCGCGTAGCCCACGCTCGTCCGGCCTCCAGCGCACATCCAAAATTGAGTACTTGCGACCCATTCGCGGATTCAAGTTGAAAAGAAGTCTGGAGTGAAGGCGAGAGCGAACCGAGAAAGAGAGGGACGCCCACGACCCGGAACGAGAGTCCAAAGCCAGAAAACCGAATGGCAACCAACCAGGAGAGGAGAACCCGGCCACAAACCACCGCAGCAACGAAAGGATATGCATCGTCCTAAATGGGGTAGAAGTGTTTTTTTGAAACTAGGGCTGCTTTTTCCGGCGCTGGCTTTTCTTAGGGACAAACACACCGAGCACCTACCCCTTTGCCGAGCCTAAATGAACCACAAACCAACCCAAGGCCCTCTCTCTTTCAGATATCAGGCAGTCTAAAACTCTCCTTTAAATTGACCAACCCGAGCAACCGCCGGTGATGCTGGGGATGCGGCCAACCAAGCAACGAACGAACGAGCCAACCAACCAACCAACCAACCAACCAAGCAAGCAACCAAACAAGCAACCAACCAACATCAACCAACCAACCAACCAACCAACCAACCAACCAACCAACCAAGCAAGCAAGCAACCAAACAACCAACCAACCAACCAACCAACCAACCAACCAACCAACCAACCAACCAACCAACCAACCAACCAACCAACCAACCAACCAACCAACCAACCAACCAACCAACCAACCAACCAACCAACCAACCAACCAACCAACCACAGGAACCGCACGAACCACACGAACCAAACCAACCAACCAACCAACCAACCAACCAACCAAGCAAGCAAGCAAGCAAGCAAGCAAGCAAGCAAGCAAGCAAGCGAGCAAGCAACCAACCAAGCAACTCAACCCAACCAAGTAAAGCAACCACTCAAGGGCTACCTGATCGCAACGATGCAGCTACAACAAACACACACTGTACTGTTCAAAAGACAAGGAACTTCGCCGTATCTTTGGAATGGTTTGGGGCTTCTCCACGTCGACAGCACATTTGCAATCGCATTGGCAATTGCTTTGAAAGTCCTCCAGACTCGTGATTGAATCTGCAAACCTTGGTGGGGAATGTCAAGCCCTAATCATTGCAGGTGACGCAACCACGAACCGCGGGAATTTGCTATGTTTCCTCTGGTCCCTACTTGCAATCCTAACACGGAAGTGCGCAGGAGCCCTTTCCAAAAGTAGCCTTCAGCTCTGTGAACTTCCATGTTGAGAGAGGGCATGCACAATGCACCGGCTGCACCGATGACTTCGTCCCTCTGAGCTCTGGACCATGGACCTTCGTCCTAAGCCGGCAGGAAGAATGGGGCCTAGGAAGCCTTGCTTCTCTAAAGTTCCCTTAGAGCAAACTCAGCTCCAATCCGCCCACATGGTGATGTTGAAAGAGACTATATGAGGGAACTATAGGGTCACGCAAATGCACAGGGAAAGCAAACCCTCTAGTGACAAAAGGGTTAAAGGTAAAACAAACTATGTTCAAACGGGTGACTGAGACTGACATACACATGCATGGGTTGGCAACGTGCATGGCTCAAAGCGTGGTCAAGCATGATTGATTGAAGGCTGACACAAATGGAAGTCAAGCGGAACTGTCCAAAGCAATAAATTACACCCACACGCCAAGACGTGGCCGTCAAGTGGTTTATCGTGGCGCCCTAAAGCATGCCTACGTGTCCAGCAAACAATCAAGGACACTGACTAGCACGGTGGCTCATGGCATCCCACGCATGCACAAAGTCCAGGAAACAACTCAACGTGCTCCAGTACCCGGGTCCATATCCTCTGACAAGCTTGCAAGCACATCGCACAGCCGCACTAGGCACAGTGAACGACTATAATATGCGTCTTAAACTCCTCTTCCAGGTTCTTGTCGGAGTACTAGCTATGGGCATACTCGCAATGATCACAATACCTCATACACCTTTGCAATGCTGATCATGGCGTGTGGCAAGAGTTTGTTCCACTTGATGCAATGTGTCCAAACGGATATCTGCCGATTGAGACTGGGACACGATGCTCCCACAATCATGGTGGCTTCAAGCCTGAAATGGTTCTGGTAACTTGGTATAGCCTGTCCACTACCAATGCTAGTTGCAGGTGCTTCTTATTGGACATATACATGACTTATGACAGGATACCAAAAGCAATCAACCTCCGAATGACCAGAATGTTGTGTGTCGTGCGTGACTGCTCACGGTTTTGCCCTGCGGTCATCCCACGGTTTTGCCCTGCGGTTTAGCCCCGGAAATAAGTGGACTGTTCGTGCCAAGCTTCATCGAGCCCTGCATTGTAGTGCTGACCTCCGCAAGGCGCGGCGGTTCCCATGATGGACATGCGACGACTCGGCCACACCAAAAAGTTGACTCATGGAATGTCTCAGCAAGCTATCAAGATTCTCCCACTCTCTGCTACAGGATCCAAAGCGGGCAATTGCGAAGTCTTGGAGACATTCTGATACTGAGATATCGAAGCTCTGAAGAGCAGGGAGCGATGGCTGGAAACAACATGTACAACCATGCACCAATGGACACACAACAGGCTGATTCAGCTGAATGTTTGCCTCACTGCTGAATGGTAGGGGAACACACGTTATTTCATGGAATGAGAAACAAGCTGACAAGCTGAACGAAACACTCAGCCCCATGAGTACAAGGAACGCGGACAAAGCTGGATTGCCACCGGCTCGGAAAGCTTGCGAGGCGAAGGCGGGTATATCTGCATCCAATGACAAAACCGGCAATGGGCCAAATGCCCACAACAGCCAGTTCGGCTGACTTTCCGGATAATTTCCTGCAAATGGTTTCTTAAACTTCCAGATTCCTGGGGGATTCCAGCCCAGAACCCCTCACTCACCCTGAAAATAAGCCCCTGCCTGCAAAGAAAGGAATCCCCAAAAGACCTTGCCCAATCAAAGTTTCAGCGCTTGCACAGGTAGCAGCCGAAGTGAAATCAAAGTCGACCGTGCCTTCGGCTTCCCACTGCACCGCCTCACGAGCGAAAGCAGAGTGACCTGTCGATTTCCACGGGAAAACCACTTTTTGGGGTAATTGATTTCAAAGGGACCCGTCCCCTCCAAAAACAAAGAAAACAACAGGCACCACTGAATGTCTGGGATCCATGCCCGTCGAACAACTTGGGCATGCCGTTCTCTAGGGGGAGCTTCATTTCCGGGGTGCTAAATGGGAAGCCAAAAGGAAACCAACCATTTTGGGGAAGCCCAACTTTACGATAACCTCATTTACCCTCAGAGGCCCGTGGATTGATCAAAGTTTGACCTCTTCTTTACCACTAAACTTGCTTGAAGTCCAACTCGTGAGCCACGGCACCGCAAAGAAACAAGTGGCTCAGACCAGAAAGCCGGGTTGGTCAAATTTCGGTCCCGTGCTTCCCTATTTGAGCCAAACCCTGGAGCCCCGCAGCCAAGATTGGGCCAGTCCTCACGGGCCAAGCCCAGGATCACTAAAGCGGAACAGCGCATTGATTGTGTCAATTGAACAACGCCAAGATCAATCAAATTGGCGTGCATTTCTACTTAGAAGAACCCAGATTATGCAAACTCTCTTGATCTGCCTTTTTGTGCCACTGCAAATTACACATCGCCACCAGAAGCTGGAAACAAAGCAAGCACCTAAGCTCAGTTGTGCTTATGCCCGGCCGAATAGTACGTGCAATCAAGCACGTCTTGCATTTTCCGCTGCAAGAGCCTGTTCCCTGTTCCGGGCTGGCGAGAGCCTTTTCTATGTGAACGTATTTGTTCGCAAGAGCCTTTTCCAGGGGCAAACTGGTGGGACTTCTCTCATAAGAAAGGACGCATCCGCTGCCTCGGCCCATCGTCCTCTCTCCTCTTCCGTCCAGGTGCCTGGCGGCAAGTAAGCTCAGAACTCCAGCGGATTTCCATGGAAAGAAGAGGGCATTGTTTATGTTGATAGTTTATCTTTAAGCAGGCTCTACCTCTACTGACTCATGGAGGTCATTTGTCTTCCGGGGAAAAACCTCGGGGTAAGGGGGAATCTCATTTTCTCAATGAACAATCTAAGCCAAACAAGGACAGTGTTCTGAATTCGAGCCCCCAAGCGGGAGAAGGTGGACCTTTACAGCATGGCAGATCCGACTTTGCAAATAGGTCCACCTGGTTAAGGCTCTCCCCTCAAGGCCTCAGCCACTTCAACCGTACAGCTCCGCGAAACAAGACAAGAACCATCTTTATAAATACCAAGTCTCTACCATACCTCCCTATGCTGGACTTATGTGCATTTCGATTGCTTTGGCAATTGCATGTCTCATGCCAAACAATGCCAAACAAGTGTGATGACTTGTGCGCATCAGTGATGCAAGCTGCACACGAAATGGCGATCATGGCAACAACCAGGTATTGCTACATCGTTCAACAAGACAGGTTCCCACTCGCAGCCCGCCCTCTCTCTGTCTCGCTCTCTCTCTCTCTCTCTGTGGCCTTTGTCTGGAAGCAAGGTCGGAGGGCAGGTTGCGGTTCCTTTGACATCGCAGTCCTGCCACGCACTGCAGCTCTCGATGCAGCCTGGTTCTTAGCGGAGTGAGGCCTTTCAAATGCATGAAGGTCAATTGTGCTTATTTGACTGCTTGCTTGTTTATGTTGTTGTCACGGCTTGTAAAAGTTTGTTTGCTTGTTTGCTTGCTTTGTTTTAGGCTGGCAGGTTTTGAGGCCTCAGTCAAAATCACGTTGTTTCGCTCTTGCATTGAACAGCTGTGCCAAGCTGCAACCTTGCCACGTCTGTCTGCACCACCAGTGACCTGGCTTTCCTCAGCGTCTTCATCCGCGCAAAACACGGCTTTAATATGCTTTAGTTGGAGAATCTTTCAACAAAGTGGTGGATGACACCAACTAGCTGGAGCTGTCACCGGTTTGACAAAGTCTCATGTCGGTGGGTAACCAAAGCTCGCAAAGTCCAGGGGATGCCCTGCTCTCCTCAGAGGCGGCCAAATGGCAGAGCCGCTTCGCCTCTTGAGCCTCAGAGGGTTTGGCTTCACGTGACAACAAAACCATGACAACCCACACTTGACAGACATGGTAACAGTATGCAACAGTATGACAGTCATGACAAACCATACTTTGCCAATCAATTGATAATGGCAACATTGTGACAGTCGCAGCAGTGACGGCACCGCCAGCTGGCAATTGCACGCAGCAGGAGTGGCAGCTTCACTCACTGATGAATGCAGAAACACAATCACAACGCCAAAACGACGTGACATCAACCTGGCTGCCTAGTGTGGCTTTGTTTGGCCATGGGGCGACCGAAAAACGCACGACATTCTGGCGGATGCCAGTATCAAAGCGATTCAGACCACGTTGCGCTTGCCATCTAATGCTGGGGGCCCCTGCCAAACGGCTCTGTCTGGCAGCCAATGCCGGGGATCCACACCTGACACTCTGGTGTCGTGCGTTTGTTGGTGAATAAGTTTGTGTCTCAATCCAGATGTGTTGCCAGGATTTCGGTGTGGTAGGCAAGGTCCCCAAGGCAGTGCGTTCAGCAACAAACCGTTGCAGGCAGACTCTGCTGGAACAGGGAAAACAACAGCTGCATTTAAGGAGTGGGACTTTGGATCACTTCTGCTGGCACAGGCGGTTGATCATACCTCCCATCCCCCATCGTTCCACCATGGGCCTGCGCCCCTTGACAACCTGCGAATGTGGCAGCCAGTGGCATGTTCGCACGCACACACACACACACAGGACTCCACTCTGCGGAACTTTCCCAACACATCCCGCACGAGTAGCATGCTGCATGCACCTGTGCCAATGATGCCCTGCGTAGCATTGCACTTATTCTGCTGAATTGCAGCAAACAACTTTGATGTCTTGCCTTTTGCAAGTGAGCTTTATCTCCTACTTGTTGAAAGCCATTCTGTCTTGCACATGGGTACGGGGCCTAGGCGAAGACACTGTCATGTTGAAATGGAGGCTTGCCTCCAGGACTGTTGTTTGCTCCAACCGCACAGTCTGGTCATGCGATTGTGCAACAACCACTCTGTTTTGCACGACTTCGTATGTTTGCTCTCCAAGAACGCCGTCCAAAACGCACAAAAGCGCGATCGCCTAAGAGGCGCTGTCACCATGTTGCTGTTGAGGGTCTGTTCTTCCGCTTGGTTTAGAGAACATGCAAAAGGAAAGCTACAACTTGTGGGGGTACCCGTATTTTGGCACGCGCACGCAGACACAGACACACACACACACACACACCTGTAGGCACACCAGTTCCTCAATTCAAATAAGCGCGATCTGAGAGCGTTTGTAAAGGGAGTGCCGCGGCGAAACAGTCAGCCTCCCAAGTGAAAGTACGCGAATTCGAACGTCGTTAATTGGACCCTATAATCCCTGGTGGACTGATAGGGGTGTGTCCCACTTTTGCTATGATTCTGCCAGATTTGTTGATCCAGGCTCAACATGAACAGGTATTCGCTAACACACATATATATATATATATATAGGTATGTATATATTATTATTGACATCGCAAATGTCGTCAGCTTCCAGCTGAGCATGGGTTGAGCCAAACGGTTTGGGAACAGAACGATCATTTAGTAGAAAATCCAAACAAACACCGCGGGCTTCCCCTGCAGCCCAAAACGCGCCAATAGAGTATAACTGCCCATGTGTGTGTGTGTATGTGATTGAGAGGACCATTCTCATCTTGACCAACCAAGTGGAAACCCACCTGTTTTAGGATCCTAGTCGCCATTCTGCAACTCACGCACGGCAGGTAGGTGCTCTGTTTGATGCTCTTTACACACATAATATGTTCAACCGACAGCAAGGGCACTGCACCTAGCAACATGTAGGTAGCAAGCCTAAAATACGAATGTTCCTCTTCCCTTCAAGGAATATAATGACTCAGCCATGTCGTACCGAATCCATCCCCCACTCCCTGGCCTGCTAAAGCCTCGCATGCACCTGACAGAGTGGGGGCTGCATAGATCACCTGTTGGCCCTGTTGTGTTGCTTGGGGCGGGTGTGGCATCGCTTTGGCCACGCATCAGGTTGACGGAAAAGCGGAACATAGCGGAACAGCAACTGGAATGATACACATGCCTTCAGTGGGTGGGGTGGACGTGTGACAACCTACACAAAAGCAACATGCTCACTGGACTGGCACGAAACACTTGGCACATCACAGGGAAATGTGGGCATACAAAACTGGACAAAGAATTGATTGCCGTGCATCATTTCTGAGATACGTTTCCATGGCCACCCTGGCCATCAGCAAGTGTGGCTGTCGGACAACATTCGCACTCCTTGAAGGTCGGCGGCTACAAACCAATACTGCGCTTTCCTCTCCTTGAAAAGCATTTGGGGAGCATCAAACTGCCCAAGTACACAACGCAACGCATGACACCAGCACGTTGAAGAAGGAAGGAAGAGGCAGCGGCACGACCAAAGCAGCAACCTAAAACATATCCAAGCACCGCGCACACGCACACACAGATACACGCAGAGTTGGGATCAGTGACCTTCGACTGGTGCTCCTGCAACACGGTCTCTGGGATCTACTCATCCGTGCCGCCAATTGTAAAGGCCAACTTGCTCAGTTGACTAGTGATAACAGGTCAACTGTGATCGAACATGCCTCGAGCTCACCAGTTCAGCCGGTATAGACATGATGTCGTGTCCCCACTCCCGTCTCCCACCCTTACAAAATCACACCGCCTGCTACCAGTAACCGTCGGCACCAGCCTAGGCTGCTGGGACTGTAGTCTTGGCAAGTCTTGGCAACATCCAACGACATTGAAAGGGACCACGCAAGAGGCAGCTTTCAGCTGGGTTGCTTGACGATGGACTTGCATCCTCTAAGGCCCGCCGTCTATTTTCAAGCAAACTGACGAAAGTACAAACCTCAGTCACACGCTCTTCGAGGCCAGCGTTTGGGGTGAATGCAGTTAACAAGTAGTTCTGTTTAAAGGCTCTAAGTCGGGACCGTAAGCAACAGCCGAAGCGAACCAAATAACCAACAAACCATGTACCAAGGGGAAAAAGACTTGGTCCCTGGAGAAACTCCCACCGACCTGTCAGCAAATTCACGGCAGGGAAGCCACAGGGCTTTGCTCGCCTTGCTTAGGGCCTTGCAGCAGAAGGCCTGCTGCTGGTGCAAAGAAACACAGTGAAAGGACACCCATGACCAGTTTGGTCAAACAGAAGAGCGTCCAAGTCTGTTGCAGGTGGCAGGTAGATCGTCACTCCGCCCGCTCTTTAGACCGAGGCATCGGCTGGCCTGTCATCTGTCCACCACTGGAAGCAGAAGCCGGCCTGGCATAGGGCAAACTTTCAACTGGCTGCACTGTAGCAACATGTTGAGGAGATTGCTCTTCGGGGTTGTTTCCTCTCAAACCACCGGATGTCACTGTAAAGGACTCAGTCAAATATTGACGAGTAAGCGATCAGCTCAAGGCATTTTGGAGGCACGTCCTTCGTTCATACCCCTCGGCGCCCAATCAAGCGGCGCCCGCTCCGGTGTCCAACAGGCAGGCAAGACATGTGTATACCCACTTCCTTATTTTTGGCAACCCAATATTTGTTCTGAGGAAGATGAGTAACACGATATGGCTATGATATGGCTATGTATGGCTCATTGGGATGGTCAGACCAAACAAGTTGCAAATTGAAATAGCTGTCCTTGTAAGGACCCCTTCTAGGAGAACGATTACTGCGATCCGCGCGCGGATTGTTGACCATTGCACATCTCATGCAACTGATATTCTTGCAGGACGTAGTTGAACAATTGCCTACTTGGGCCAATGGTCCCAGGTGGCGTTGCCGGCTTTGCAGGTAATAAGAATTCCAATTTGTGTTCTATCTATTGAAGGACTTGCGTATGCATTAGTATCTTGACCCAGTCGGTACCGATAGTTCCCGAGCACATGATCATGCATTTGGCGGGGGCTTTCTTCCGGCTTTTATAAACTTTGTATCTAAGGGCCATGCACCGCTCTTGCACAATTGCAAATAAGGCCATCTCTCACTCATCACTACTGGGATTTGTCTCTGAAGTAGGGGGCCTCCAAAATGGGTGGTGTCCTCTTGCTATCCCTTTAACAACCAACAAGATTCGCCAAAGACACAGTTTCAGAGAACTGAGATCCTTTTGCAGTTGGCTGGCAGATTGCGCCATTTGCCCCAAAGCGGCATCCCGCGTCTTTTACTGTGCTTGTTTTCTGCTAGTTGACCCTTACTTTGTGGTTTGGCTTGGCTTTGAACCCCTGGTTCTTTGTAGAGGGTATTTTTTGACGCCCCCTCAATTACCTCCAGGCACCAAAGCAAACCACAACTACAAAACCAAAAGCAGAACAACCTGCCAAGAAACAAACAGTTCAAGCCACACAAACCACCCAGATTGCGTAATTTTGTCAAGGGGACCTCTCACTGACAGGGCTGCTTGGTGTTGACGCTGGCACTCTTGGGCCAAAATATGCCACCCTTCTAAAAGACTCCAAAGCATGAGCTCGAACTCTTGTGCATAGTGTAAACGTTCAACAGCCCAAAGCAAACTTGGGCTTCGCCGAGGCTTAGCATCAAATCATCAGGTGTGTTCATCGTCTCATTTTTTCAGCAACTAGGCTGTCCTATGAACCTTTCATGTTTCAGGGGATTTAAGTGGTCCAAGCATCTTGCGTGGTCTCAGTGGGATAGTCCAAATGAACCAGTTCGGCTCTTGGCAACAATCCCTGCAATGAAGAAACCGCCTCGCTTGGCCGCGGCCAAGGGGCAAGATTGGCGCACCGAGTAAGACCCGACTCTCCACTGTCGCACCTCTCCATAAAGGCCCACTTCTACCTCAAGAGTAGGCCAGGATCTGCGGAAAGGTGATTCCAACATGCGCTTCCAGAACCCAATCCAAAACCCAACGACTTCCTTTTACACCTGCAATGAGGTAGCTGCTGGGGGGTGCTGGTGTAAAATCTTCACTGTTAAGGTCATCCAGAAGGCCCAATTTCAGGTACGGAACGCCCGCGGTGGATTCCTTCCTCAGGATTCAAGGAGGACCCCCCCTGATTCTTTGGCTTGGTCAACATGGGGAATCCCTCATCCGAATCCGTAATCAGTAGTGAGGCACCACTTCAATAAGGGAAAGCACTACTATCTGGTATAAGGTTTGAGGATTGATCCTGAGCAACCCAGTCAGACTATCGCCCAGCAATCAGGGGTCGAAATTATCAAGCACAAGAGTTGACACTGCAGCTTTTGCAGCAGAAACTGTCAGCACGATCTTCATGTTCCTGCCTCTCATGCGGGCTCACAGGCTGAGCATTGTGTAACTGTATGAAGCTGCTCTGGTTTGGAGCAACACAATCGCCATTCCCGCCCTTTTCATTGGCTTCGGGAAACTTAGATCTATTTGGCACACATTAATTACAGGCGCACAAATGTGCGCAACACCTGAAAAGCATTTACCTTTTGGTTCTATTGAAATGGTTGCAACATTCATATTCGGCCATAGGACAATCCCCAACCTCGCATCAAAATGGCCAATGGGGTTTTCGGGCGATGCTGAGATGTGTGTCCAAGTAGCAGGACCCACATGTGGTGGTTGCCCCTTTGGGCTTTCCTCTACACCCACGTAGAAAGGGCAATTACCCTTACACACACACCCATGTGATTCTACAATCGCTCCCTCTCTCTCACTCTCGCTCTCGCAGTGCCAGGGTCCCTGCCAAGCATGGCAGTGTGCGGAGAGCTTTCGAACGGTTCGCAGCTTTCTGGGCGGCTAGCCTTGCTCCGAATCTCCGGTGACTGGGCCCTGGGCCGAAATGTTGGCTGCTCTTTGCTGGATGTTGAGTAACACCACGACACTGCCACTTGGGATGGCAGCTTTGACGACCCTGCTTTCAGGATAAGATCATGTTTCATATAAGCATCCCCAACTCAGGTTTCTATCAAAACGTGACATCTTTAAGAAAACTGGCTTGACCAAAAAGCTGCCCTGAACAAGCTGACAAGGCTGGGATTCTTCCATTAGCCCGTCCAGCAGGGTCACTGCTTGTGTGAAACTGTCACGAGTCTTGAGCATTCAGCCGGCGCACAACGGTTGTTGAGTGCATGCAAGCACCAACTTGTGCCTACAGATGCGAAATCCATGATTGCTTAAACATTGGGCTTTCTGTTTTCAGTCCCAGCCACCACTAGCAGAGGGCAGGCAACATTTTCCAGTTTAGCATGTAACATGTTAGCGGCTGCGACATGGACTTGGGGCTCCCTTTGACCTGTCTGCGGCTTCCACGTTCAGCTGGGATTGGGCAGGGGAAGGAATGGGGGAGATTGGAGTGTGTGGATGAAACGTGTGTACGCATGGTACCCGTTCATACTGATGCGTCCAGCGTCAGTGCTTCTAAGTGCCCACTTATATGAGTTCAAATACAAACTAAAAAGATATTGTCAATCACGTTGCCCCCGGCTTCCCTGTTTCAAGATTTGAAGGCTGGTCCAATGAAACCGGGCTCAAAGGGGGGCCTATGTAAATTCGACCTGCAAGCGGTTCCTTCTAACATGGCCACAAGCAAGCTCGGGAAGGGAAGATCATTCCCTGACAAAGGCTGGATGGGCAACAGATCAACACAACTGCCACCCACCAAGTAGATCTATGCCAATCCATTTGCGAGTGTGGCATCCCAAGCAAGCAAATAGAAAGGCTTGACGCTAAGCCCTGGCAGACTTCACCACCAGGTCTGAATAAACGCCCTCGTGCTTTCCTTTGAAAGGAATAGCTAAAGTGACTCAAGACTTGTTTAATATGTTCGGCACAGCATCTCCCTTTCGGCACTGGGGCTCTCGGGACCTTGCAAGAATAAGATTGCGTTTGCCTTAAAGTGCAAGAATCAACACAATTCTTCAGGCTCAGCACGTGACAGGCTTTACCCCATCCACTCCCCCGCAGCGGACGTCCATTGGGTATCAAGGGTAATGTTGAGCGGGGAATCAACTAGAGAAAACGGGAGCACGGGTGCAACTCAATAACCTGGCAGCTAACACAACCGAGCGGCACCAAGCTAAATATGAAACCCTTTTCCCTCAGCAGGTCCCTCATATCCATGAGACAATCCCACTGTAATGTGGCCTCCGCATTTCGCGGAGGTCCATAGGCCATGCACCAGTGTTGAGTGTTGAGCTTGCAAAAAGCTCTCTCGTTGCTCAAAGTTATTCAAATATATTTAGCCCCCCGATACCTTCACGTGATCCAACTGAACACTTCTCGGCAGTAACATCATCGAACCCCAAGTTGGTACCTCTCCGTCGTTTCACTTGCCGATCCCCATATTGGCAAAACCATATTTAGCGCGGCAACAGATGTCGTGCTAATCACAAGTCGGGAATGTTGAAGAGGCCTGCTGAGGCTGAAATCCTTGCTTTTATGCTTTAACAATGCCATAGGGTGGTTCTCAAACAAGTGGTCCCCTAAAATGGTTGGTTTCCCCTTACATGCCATCCAAAGAGCATTCCACTTTGACAAACAACCATACACCTTGCATTCAATCACTTTGGAAGAAATTCGAATGAGAGTCCCCGCCACAGTTGCCTTATCATGCTTTCTCATTTGACATCGCTAAACACGGGAACACCCCAGTCTTTCGCCAGCAGGGGGGAATAGTTTTCATGCGCGCACACGGACATACAGCTCGATGCACACGGGTCGGCCGCAGGCATCGCCCTCAGGCTCGCGTGCTCGTATACACACACATATATACAACTCACACACACACACATAGAGAGAACAGAGATCGTCTCCTCATGCGAGTCACTATGGCCCATGTAGAAGCGATCACGTATCCACTTACACATGTTCTGCTGCTTTGAGGGTGTATGGGTGGGGGGTAAGATTCCCTCAAAGGTTGAACATGCTGTTGCCGAATTATCACAGGTACCCCGACTGCAACATTGGTGTCATGGTTGGCGGCACATCGGAAGCTGTAATCAACGCATGCTGGAGGCGTCCCGCACATCGAGAGGTTCACAAAATCCAGAGGCCCTCTCAAATAAGCTCGAGATAATTTGCCCCGATTCTCATGTGTGGACCTCTTGGTGGACCCTCTCAAATCGGAACAGCCGCCAGCCAAAATTTTGGCTCGTTCTGCGGGTTGGTGCTGTCTGGCGCATGCCGCAACACTTGATCATTTTTAGTGGGCTTGCTGTTGTGTACGGGACCGCCTTTTCGGGGTTGTTTGAAAGAAACACCACAAGGAACCCACCCATGTTGGCTATGCAGACACTTCCCCCAAATGTTGTTGCTTGACGTTGATTCTCCGACTAGTGCCCAGCCAACCATCTAAGACTGGGCACCAGTCTGCTGGCCTACTCCAATTATCGTAGCTCGCAGGTAATCAACAGAATGTGAGCTTAAGCACGAACTGCGAACCTCGCAGCGAATAGAGGAAAGCCTGTCTAAGGTACCATGGTGTTCAATGTCGTTTTGCCATCCCTGCAAGAAATTTGGAGAAATAGTCTCGGAACTCTTGAAGAGCAAGCTGTTTAGCTGTCGGAAGATCATCCATTTTGGGGAAGGGGTTGGAAGTGCAAACTGCATTGGACTATCAAACTCAGGAGCTTCCAAAGGCATGTGCGCGGTGCTTCCAAAGGTGCAGAAAGGTCTCAAGTATTGCGGGCGGCCACCGGGGAGGCAAAGAAATGCCCTCTGCACTCAGCACGGCCAAGTCCAATGGTTGTCAGGGCCCCCCAAAGGTAAAACCTAATTCAGAGAGACCCATAAGGGAGCCATTGCAGCCGAATAGTACTAGTGACTATAAGGGGCCGTCGATTAAAGGTTGTGACTATCACCTTCCCACGGCTCCCCTTGCGAGTCAGCCCTGAATTATTGGATGTAAATAGATCTGATTGGGTGAGAGTGGTTCCCAATGCTGGGCAGAAAGGCCCCTTTTGGGGCCCTTCACAACCATAGGGCCAAGCACACTCCGCCCATATTGGTGGTGCATTGGCGTTCGCTCTGGGCTCTGCCGGAATGCCTCTCTCCTGTCATGTTCAGGATAGCCCCTGCCGGCACGGAACCTTCGAGTGGCACTTCTACTTGGATGAAGCCCTGGTCACTCGTGTGCATCGTGCAATATACTTTGGTGATGATTTAAATCCACGAAACTGGGCCAGACATAGACCCCCTGCAAAGAGTTCACTTGGTTAGTATATAAATTAAATTAAGTCTGACCGAAGGTGCGCAAGGGTAAACATGTCAGTTGACAAGCACCTCAAATAAGTCTGGCAATGAAACAAAGACCTTGGGTCCTTCGCGGCATACCGCATGCAGCCGCAATCAGTTCCGTGAGGCTGGGCTGAGGCGCGATAGGTACGCGGGATGGTTTCACAAAAGAGCAGCGCCCAGGTCCGTCATGGTCCGTCAACGTGCTAACGCAAACCCAGAACAGAACAGACTTGTGTATATAGTGGCAACCAACATTCCTTCATTCTAAAGTCTTCTACCCTATGTCCAGGCTTTGCTTATTCTACATGTTGTACGGGCCATGGGGTACTATGAAACCAACGTACCTCACAACTGAGGGAACAAAAACATTGTTGTATTGAAGTAGCCCCTTATGTTCAGCCCATAACAGAACAAACGTATAAACCATGCAACGCTTGCAAGTAAGTGCTAGCGCAGCCTCAGCGTTGAGCGGCCCCTGCAGGTCGCTATTGGTGCCAAGAACTTGGGAAGGGCACTGCTCAATTCTCCTTCTTCACCCAGACCATAGCAGCAGCCTTGCCCGCTGCTTTTCGCGTGCCGTTGGGCGCCTCGGCGAGAGAAGGACCGTTGATTCCTGGTCCTGTCACCCGGTTCTTTCAAGACATACGTGTCTGTCCGTCTCTGTCTTTGTCTCTGCTCTGTCCGGCTGTCTGTCTGTCTCTGTCTTTGTCTCTGTCTTTGTCTCTGTCTTTGTCTCTGTCTTTGTCTCTGTCTTTGTCTCTGTCTTTGTCTCTGTCTTTGTCTCTGTTCTGCATGCCTGCCTGCCTGCCTGCCTGCCAGTCTGCCTGTCAGGCTGTCTGTTTGTGTCAAATAGGGGGATCCCAAGGTTTCGCGGTATTCATTCCAAATTCCCCTTTAAACTAAGACAAATATAAAATGGGTGCCATGAAAATCACACACCCGTACAGCATGTAAGCAGAAGCTATTTCCTTTCAAAAAGGCACGGAAGTCCCCAGTCAGCCATCGACCATCTGCCCAGGGCACGGAACGAATGTTTGGACCGCATCCGCAGACCAGGGCTCTTTCATGGACCCGTTTGCCAATGTTTGCGGTGTTGTCTAATAAGAAACGTGCGAGCTCACACGCGGCACTTCACACCCTGTTGCGAGTTCTCAGGATCGCTTCAGTTTCCTTCACGTCACCCAGCGAAATTGGCAAAAGGATGGGACCCTGGGACCCCCTGATTCGTGGACAGCTTGAGACACGTTCCAACCAAATTGCAACGAAGGATGCAGGCCATTACTGTGCCACATTCTTTCTAGCGACTTGGCGGAATAAGGGGGTGTTGCCCCCATCTGATCCGGATTCCCTTTAACAACCAGGGGCTTCTGAGTGAGTCATTTGGCCTTTGTGGATCTCGTTTTCGCCAGTTCTCCCATATCCCAAATGAACCACAGACTACGTTCCCAGGCGCCTGGGCACGGACGCGGTTTGTCGCCTTCGGCGCCGGCTTTGCCGCTCTCCTGGAAGCAACTCGCCACGGTCGCGAGTTGGTAAGCAGAACATGCTCGGAGTCACAAAAGTCTCGCAAAA